CGCGCTCGACGTCTTCCGGAGCGTGTCGATCTCGCCGGACATGATGAGCTTGACGCGCGCGGGCGACTTGGCGCCGACCTTGTCGCTCTTGTTGCAGAGGAAGAGGATCTTCGTCCGCGTGCCCGACGACAACACCTGGAACAGGATCTCAGCGGCCGGTTTCGCCTGCATCGTCGCCATGGACGCGTCGAGGACGAAGACGATGCCCGCGGCGCGCTTCAGCTCGCCGGCGAGCGGGCCCCGCAGCCGGTGGTGGCCCGGGAAGTCGACGACGGCCCTGGCGCCGCCGCCGCACGCCGCGGATCCCTCGCTCGCGAGCATCGACGACACCGTCTCCGTCGCGTCGCCGTCGGCGCCGTCGACGAGGCGGTGGAAGAGCAGCGTCTTGCCCGCGCCGCAGGGGCCCAGCAGCAGCACGGCCGGGGGCTTGCGCGCGCCGCCGCGCGAGAGGACGAAGGCGACGACGAGGAGCAGGAGGATTACCGCGGCGACGATCGGCAGGAGCATGGAGGTCTCTGCGCTCGCGACGGTCTCGGCGACGGTCTCCGCGGCGGCCTCGGCGGCGGCGGCGACGCCTTCGACGGCCGCGTCGGCGGCGCCATCGATGCCCGCGTCGAGCGTCATGCCTCGCCGCAGAGCTTCAATTTAGAGCTTCAATCGGCTTGTTGCACCCAGTACCATCCCCACAACCCGGCCTCCCGGGGTGCGATCGACACGCGCCAGCTTAGATGATGGTGAGCCGCGACCGGCTGGCCTTCTGCTGCCAGCGCGCCTTGCGCAGCGCGTAGCGCGTCTCGCGGTCGCCGACGAGGATCGGGGCCGTCGCGGGCGGCCGCTTCGCCTCGGGCGCCGGCGCGCCCCGCGCCGTGGGCACGGCGGGCAGCGGCGGCGCCGTGCGGCAGTCCGGCGCCGTCGGCGGCGGCGCGCGCGCGGTCGCCGGCGGCGGCTCGAGCCTGGGCAGCGACCGCGACTGCCGCTTGGCCGGCTGCGCGAGCGTCGGCGTCGCCGGCGGCGCGTCGCCCGCCGCCGACGTCCAGCCCTTGGCGTGGTCCTTGGACCGGTCGTAGGGCCGGTAGCGGCGCTTGCCCCGGTCCACGAAGCCCGCGAGCTTGCGGTCGAGCTCGTCGTCGAACTCCGGCGGCGGCTTCGGCGCCGCCGCCGGCTGCTCCGCCTCGCGCGGCGTCCGCAGGACGCGGCCGCCGCCGCGCTCCTGCGCGATGGCGCGCTGCCAGATCTGCACCGCGCCGTCCATCGACGAGACGCGCGTCGACGCGACGCGCGCGGAGCACGCGCCGCAGACGGAGCGCGTCGTCGCGAAGCCGCGGCAGAAGAAGGTCGTGCCGCAGACGGGGCAGTTCACGGCGACGCCTTCCCGGTCCGTGACGGCGCCCAGCCACTTGTGGTCCTTCGACGGCGACGGACCGGCGGTCGTGGGCTTGGCCGTGGGCTTGGCCGTGGGCGGCGGCTTGCGCGGGTCCTCGCCGCGCACGCGCGCCGCGCGCTCCGCCCGGGCGGCGGCGCTCGCCATTGGTGCGCCGTCGGTGAGCTGGGACACCGCGAGGCTAAGCGACCATGCTGCTGCGCTGAATGTGCTGTACTTTTTGGCGTTTCTGGTTTGCTTGAACTCTCTTGTTGCACCATTTATGATCACGATGGTGCGCGCTTTGGCGTACCTGCTCCTGTACACCATCGATGCGAGCGCGCAGGAGCCGCAGGACCGCCGCAGGGCCGCAGGAGCCGCAGGAGCCGCAGGAGCCGCAGGACCGTCGGTCGCCTACGCTCCTCCGAATGCCGGCGCCCAGTGCAACCAGGACCGCTGGATCTACCGCAACGTCTTCGCGCACCTGCCGACGCCCGACGGCATTTTCGTCGAGTTCGGCGCCCGCGACGGCCTCAAGCACAGCAACACGCTCTTCTTCGAGCGCGCGCTCGGCTGGGAGGGCCTGCTCGTGGAGGCCGGCGGCGACGACTGGGCGGGCCTCCGCGGGAACCGGCGCTGCCGGCTCCGGGGCCGCGCGGGCTGCGCGCACGCGGCGCTGAGCGATCTCGAGGACCGCGAGGTCTTCCACCACGAGTGCAGCGGCGGAAGCTGCCGCCACACCGTCGCCGACGCGCGCGGCGACGCGCGCGCGAAGCCCGTGCGGACGGCGACGCTCGACGGCATGCTCGCGCGGCGCGGCGTCTCCGGCGTCGACCTGCTCTGCGCCGATTGTGAGATGTTCCCCGCGTCTTTCCGCGTTAATCAACCTCTCACGCAGCGTCTCTAGGCGAGGGCTGCGAGCTCGCGGCGCTCCGGGGCTTCGACTTCGCGAAGCACCGGCCGGCGGTCGTGCTCCTCGAGCGCCAGCGCGAGCCCGGCGGCGGGCTCGGCGCCGCCATGGCCGAGCTCCGCGCGCTGCTGGCGAAGGCGGGCTACGGCGAGCTCCACGACCCGGCGGGCGAAGCGCTGCGCTTCCAGGACTCGCTCTTCGTGCGCCGGGACCTCGCGCCGCGGCTCCCCGCGCCGTGCCTCGACCACCTCGTCCGCGCGCCCTTCCCCGCGCCCTGCCCCGTCGTCGACATGCCCGCCGGCGCGCCCTGCGCGCGGCCCGGCGCCTGGGCCGCCGACGTCCTTCGCGCGGGCGACGGGTAAGGTTCGTTACGCGGCGTCGGGGTTCTTCTTGATGAGCACCTTGGGCCGCAGCTTGAAGAGCGCCTTGCGCCGCACGACGCCCGCGACGGTGAAGGTCTTGCCGTCGCCCGGCGCCGGGTCGAGGACGACGAGCGGCTTCTTGAGGTCGACGAACTTGCCCTCGAGGCGGTGGATGCCGATGGTCAGGAAGGGCTTGGACGCGACGACCTCGAGCGTGCCGAGCTCCTCGCCGTCGAAGGGCACGCCGTGGCGCTCCAGCGTGCCCTGGAGCTCGAACATGCTGTACTCGCGGGCCATGCCGCCGTCGCTCACGATGGGCACGACGGCGCCCGTGCGCCGCCGCTTCGCCGGCGGGGCGTCGTCGCCCATCGCTCGGTTTTTCAAGACGTGCGATGCGCAGGAGCTCTGCGGCGGCGCGGCGACGACGTGCGCGCGCGGGTTTGCTTGGGTTTTATGCGGGCGCCGCGGGCCGCGGAGGGAGGCTTCTATAGCTCGTTTGAAAGGGGCTCTTTTGGCCTGTCTGCGACGTTGAACCGGCGGACGATGGCTGCCATCCTCGAAAGGGCAGCCGCGTTGGACTTCGACGACGTCTGGGGCGACGGCGGCACGCGCGTGAACATCCGCGACGACGTCTGGGTCGGCGTCGACGACGCCGTGGGCGCCGGCGCCCTCGCCCTCGCGTCCCAGCTCTGCGCCGGCGGCGTCCTGGGCCCCGGCGCCGTCGCCGGCAAGCGCGTCGTGGAGCTCGGCGCGTCGTCGGGCCTCGCCGGCCTCGCCGCCGCGGCCGGCGGCGCCCGGAGCGCGGCGCTCCTCGCCGTCGAGGGCCGCGGCGGCGGCTGCCGGCGGTCCGCGGACCGCGCCGCGCGCGACCTCGGTCTCCCGCGGACCGCGCTGGCCGTCGTCGACTTCGACTGGGGCGCGTTCACGGCGCGGGACGGTGGCGTGGACGTGGTGCTCGTCTGCGACGTCGGCGCCGACGCGGGCCTGTCGCTCGCGACGCTGCGGCGCTGGTGCCGCGGCGACGGCGCGGGGAAGCCGGCGCTCTACGTCGCGTTGGACGAGGCGGACGCACACTCGTGTCGCTACGCCGCGTGCCTGAGCGCCTGCCGCTTCGAGGTCCGGGAGATCTTCCGGGAGGGCGGCGTCGCCGTCTACGAGTGCTTCGCGACGGCGGCGGCGACGGACGTCGTCGCCGCGCCCCTGCCGCCGCACGACACGACGCTGCGGCACGTCGAGGACGGCGTCGACCTCGAGATCGTCCAGCGCGCGGACCTCGGCAACGAGTACGGCGTCTGGCCCGGGGCGGTGGCGCTCGCGGACCACGTCTCCGCGACGTTCGGGTCCAAAAACTTCCGCGCGTTCGAGCTCGGCTGCGGGTCGGGCTACCTCGGGTTGCTATTAGCGGCGCGCGGCGCGAGGCACGTGACGCTGAGCGACGCGCACCTGAACCTGGCCGCGTGGAATCTGGCGCTCAACTACGACGCCGCGGCGGACGCGGGCTGCTCCGTGGACGCGCGGCGCGTGCGCTGGGACCACGAGGACGACGTCGACGGCTTCGACTTGGGTGTCGTGGGGCCGCGGGAGACGTTCCTCGTGGTCGGCGCGGAGCTGCTGCACATCCTCGACTCGCAGGCGGATCTCGCGCGCGAGGTCTACCGCCGCTTGCTCTCCGCGGCGACCTTCGGCCGCGACGGCGTCGCGCTCCTCACGACGGCGCCCTGCGCGCGGCCGCGGGTGACGCCCCTGAAGAAGCCCTGCGACATCGGCCACTGCGCGTGCTGCCTCTTCCTGCGGCGCGCGTCGTCGTCGGGCCTCGCGCTCGACCGCGTTTGCGCGGTGGCGGCGCCGCGGCGGAAGGACCCGCGGCTGAAGAACGCGGACGTGCGCTGGGAGAACGAGCACGACGAGGCCATCTGGGTCCTCCACCTGCGCCTGCGGCCCGACGACTAATTCGACGACACTGCAACCCTTGGTCAACTTGGGTCGCTAAATCTCTTGAGTTGGGAATGCGGTGAATCGAGGCGAGTTTTTGGCTGCAATGGCCGACGGCGGCGACCCCGACCAGGTCGGCACGACCGCCGACGATGCGGCGATCCTCAACCTCATCAGCCAGACCGCGAAGAAATCGTCGTACAACAACTCGCGCCGCCAGGGCCTGGAGCCGGACCCCGGCACGCAGCCGCCGCCGGCGGGCCGCGCGCCGAGCGGCGCCCCGCCCAAGAAGCAGGTCCCCAAAAAGAAGAAGAAGGGCGGGGGCTTCCTCTGCGGCTGCGGCGCGGCCCTCGAGGCCGTCGACGAGGGCGGCCCGGGCGGCGAGGCGCGCGACGACGGCGTCTTGCGCGACCCGAGCTCCGCCGTGTCCTACGAGATGCTGCACCTCGTCGGCGAGGGCGGCTTCAGCAAGGTGCTGCTCGTGCGGGCGAAGAGCGGCCACCTGAGCGGCCCCAACGGCAAGGGCGTCTACGCGGCGAAGATCATCCCGAAGGCGCACCTAAAGAGCGCGGGCGAGTCGTTCATCAAAGCCACGATGCTCGAGCGGAACATCCTCGGCGAGTTCGACCACCCCTTCCTCCTCAAGCTCTACCACAGCTTCCAGGAGAAGGACAAGCTGGTCCTCGTCGTCGACTACTGCCCCGGCGGGTCGCTCCACACGCACGTGAACATCAGCCTCCGCGAGGACGGCCGGGGCTTCGGCGAGGCGCGCGCGGCGTTCTACGTCGCGGAGATCGGGCTGGGCATCGCCCACCTCCACAGCCACGGCATCATCCACCGCGACCTGAAGCTGGAGAACGTGCTCATGCACGCGTCGGGCCACTGCGCGGTGTCCGACTTCGGCGCGTCGAAGCGCGTCAAGCCCATGCCGCTCGCGGACTGCCGCGCGGGCGACCAGCCGCCGGCGACGACGCGCCCGCCGGGCGCCGACGCCATCGCCGCGGGCCTCGCGCCCAACACGACGGGCCCGGCGCCGCCGCTCCTCGCGACGACGAAGTCGATCGTCGGCACGCCCGCGTACATGGCGCCCGAGATGCTTTTAGCGCAGCCCTACGACTTCGCCGTCGACTGGTGGGCTTTGGGCGTCCTCTTCTTCACCATGCTCAAGGGCCGCCTGCCCTTCGACGCCGCCGAGGAGGACAAGATGCTCTGGCCTGTGCCGAAACCAACCACTGGTTTGGGGGGTCCCCACCAAACTTGAGAATTCTCTAGCTCGGTCAAATCAAAGTCGATTCGGCTGATTTTTGGACGGATCGATCGCTCTCGTCGAGTTCTCGAAGCACAGTGAAAGAGTCTGGTCCAAATCGTTCGAATACGCTCACATTGAAGTCGGGTTGAAGATTTGGTTTCGGCACAGGCTCTGGCGCATCGTCAAGTCGAAGCCGCGCTACGACCCCGACTGGGCGCCCGAGACGCTCGACGTGCTCCGGTCCATGCTCCAGAAGCGGCCGACGACGCGCCTCAGCAGCCTCAAGACGCTGGGCCACGCCAAGCTCTACGCGTCCTACGACTGGGCCAAGCTCGAGGCCTGCAAAATACCGCCGCCGCCAGGGCAGGACAAGAGAGCGAAATTCCCAACTTCAAAGGCTCCTTTCTCGGCCGATTTCCACTCGTTTCGGCTGATTTTTGGACGAGCGATCATCTCTCGGAGCGGTCTCGACGCGTGGATGTTTTTCTCGTGACGCGCGCGCGCGGAACACTCACGTTGAAGCGACGTTGAATCTCCCTTGTCCTGCCCAGGCCGCCGCTCGTGCCGGACCTCGGCGACGACGACGACCGCAAGTACGTGCCCAAGCGCATCGCCGAGACCGCCGTCCCCGAGTCCAAGCTCGACTACAAGAAGGGCGACTCCATGCAGAAGCTCTTCCGCAAGTTCTCCCACCGCACGTCCTTCGACGACGAGGGCGTCAAGCCCCCGACGTCCACGCAGCTCCAGTGAGCAGACCATCTCGAAGACCACCCCGCCAATTCAGAATCGAAGTTTAACACCCGATGGGAGCAGAACAAAGGGGGGTTTAGTACACGGGGCGAGCAAGGGAGGTTCATTTCAACGATGTTTTTTGTGGTGGGTCGTCTCGGCGGGCCCGCGGGGGCCGCGCCGGGCCGGCCGCGGCGGCGGCCGCGAAGTGTCGCGGGGGCGCGGCGGCGGGCGCTTCCGGCGGGCGCGTCGAGCGCCGCGCCTCAGGCGTGGACGTCGACGGCGGGCGCGGGCGGCGGCGACGCGGCGGCGGCGAACGCGTCGAGGCTCGAGCAGGAGCGCTCGCGGACGGGCGACCGCGGCGCGGGCTTGGCGAAGCCGTCGCTGTCGAAGTCGACGGCGCTGTCCTCGGGCACGGGGAAGGCGCGGAAGTCCGGCGACGAGTACGCGCGCACGCGGAGGCCCGCCGAGGTCTGCGGCGTCACCGCGGCCGGCGGCGGCGGCGCGGCCTCGCCGCCGGCGCTCGCCACGAGGTCCTTGCGCAGGAGGAGGCCCCGGCCGGAGGCGCCGGCCTGGCGCACCATGGCGCAGACCGCGCAGGCCGCGCCCTTGACGCACGTCCGCGGGTGGTGCACGAGGCGCGCCGCGGACGCGCACGCGGCCGCGCGGCAGCCCCGGCTCGGGTCGGCCATGGCGCCGCAGGCCCGCATGTGGGTCACGAGCTCGACGGCCTTGCGGCAGGGGCCGAGGCGGCAGGCCTTCGGGTTCTCGCAGAGCGCCGCGTGGCGGAGGAACCAGATCTTGCGGGCGATGACGCGCGCGCGCGCGACCATCTCCGCGCGCTCCCGCGCGCCCAGGGCCTGGCCGAAGTCCTTCTCCTCGGGCGTGCCCAGGGCGCAGGCGTCGCAGGGGACGCACTTCATCGGCTCCGCGGCGGCCGCGGCGCCGGCGGACGACGACATGTCGGCGGCGTCGGTTCCGCGCCGCGGCTCGCCGCGCGGGCCCCGCGCGAGCTGGCGGCGCTTCTTGCGGGCGGCGCACTCGGCCTTGGCGCTCCCGGGCGTCGGCGCGGGGCGCTTAAGGTTCCTCCAGCAGGACGGCGCGGCGCAGCACGGCTCCGCTTCGCGGTAGGACTTGCGCGGCGGCACGGGCTTCCCCGGGTGGAAGCGCATGCCGCTCAGCACATCCCCGCGCGGCTGCGGCGGGCGCAGCGCGGCGACGGAGCGTGGCGGTGCTTGAGAACGGTGCGAATCTCGCAGATGTGCGCGTGGATCTTGGGTTCGCTTCGGGAAGCCGAATCGCGTGGCAGCGGTGAGCGGTAGTGCAGTCTTGAGTACTCGGCAGCGCGTGGAAAATGAGCTAAAAGTTTGCGGGGCGCGCGCTGGACTTGGCACTGTTCTTCAAGACGCGGCGCGGCCGTGCGGTAGTAAGGACACGACGGCCAAGAGCGACGTTGGTCGCCGAAGCCGGCTCGCTCAGCGGCGACTGCCTGAAACGTTCGCCGAGCCTTCGCCGAGGGCCGCCGGGGGTCCAGATCGAGCCGAATGCACTGCGGGACTTCCGGACGACAACAATGCGCCGCGGACTCGCCCGGCGATCCGATCTGCGGCCGCGCCCGGCGCCGCCGGCTCCCACGCAGCGACGGGGTGTTCTCGGCCACCCGCGGCGCGCGCGCGGGCTCTTGCGGCTCGCGCGGCCCGGACCGATTTCAAATGCCAAAGATTCGGTATCATAACGATTGCGTCAGCGGGGCAGCCCTCGCGCTCGAGAGAGGCAGCCCCCGCGCGGGCAGGGCAGCAGCAGCCATGCCCGACTTCGACAACCTCATGGCGTCGACGCGGTCGCTCCTCACGGGCGAGCCGAGACCGCAGACCGTGGCCGAGCAGGTCGAGGAGGAGTGCTGCAAGGCCTGCCCGCGGCTCAGCTGGAAGCAGCGCTTGATCGGGTTCTCCTTATGCTTCGCGCTCGGCGTCGTCGTCGAGCTGGGCTCGTTCATGCGCATCGTCGAGCTCGTCGGGGGAAACCCGAAGCCCTTCGCCGTGACCTACAGCCTGGGGAACGTCATCGCGATCTGCTCGTCGTTCTTTTTGGCGGGGCCGTACAAGCAGTGCAAGTCGATGCTCGCGCCGACGCGCGTCATCGCGACGGCGACCTATCTCGTGGCCATCGGCGCGACATTATTCGTCGCGCTCTTCGACGCGCGCATCCCGGCGCGCGCGGGGCTCATCATCCTCCTCGTCTGCGTCCAGACCATCGCGCTCTTCTGGTACATGATCTCCTACATCCCCTTCGCGCGGGACTTCGTCAAGAACTGCTGCAAGGGCTGCTGCGCCGACGCCACGGGCATGGGCGCGTAATACGAGGGGACCTGAAAGCGGCGCCAACGGGCCGGGCACGCAGAGCCTGAGGATCTGAGGGTGCCGTTGATTGAACTTCAAGTGCCGCTACGAGCGCGGCGATCGATCGAGACGCTGCCGGCGCCCGAAACGCAGGAGCCGTCCGTCGCTGCCGCGGTTCCAAGGGGCACGCAAGGTGTCGTTTTTTAATTGAACTTCAAGTGCCGCTTCGAGCCGGCGATCGATCGAGCCGTGCCGAAGCGCCGCCACTGCGCCGACGTGCGGGCAGCAACTCCATAACGCCAATGGTCCTCTACCTCATCGGCCTCGGCCTCGGCGACGAGAAGGACATCACGGTGCGCGGCCTCGAGGCCGTGAAAGCCTGCAGCGAGGTCTGGCTCGAGTCCTACACGAGCGTGCTCGGCGTCGACGTCAAGGCGCTCGAGGCCTACTACGGGCGGCCCGTGCGCGTCGCGAGCCGCGACACCGTCGAGTCGGAGTGCGACCAGATCATCGGGTCCTGCGTCGACGCGGACGTCGCGCTGCTGGTGGTGGGCGATTCCTTGTGCGCGACGACTCACGCGGACATCGCGCTCCGCGCGCGGGCCATGGGCGCCAAGGTCGAGGTCATCCTCAACGCGTCGGTCATGGCCGCCGTCGGCAAGTGCGGGCTGCAGCTCTACAGCTACGGCGCGACGGTGTCGATCTGCTTCTTCGAGGGCGAGTGGCGGCCGACGTCGTTCTACGACAAGGTCCTCTACAACGCGAGGGGCAACATGCACACGCTCTGTTTGCTGGACATCAAGGTGCGGGAGCCGGACTACGAGGCGCTCGCGAAGACGGGCCGCACGACGTACCTGCCGCCGCGGTTCATGACCGTGAACCAGTGCGTCGACAATTTGTTGGAAGCCGAGGCGAAGCACCAGGGCGGCGTCTGTACTGGCGGCGCCATGGCCGTGGGCTGCGCGCGCCTCGGCCAGCCGACGGAGCTCATCGTCGCCGGCACGCTCGACGAGCTCCGGAACGTCGACTTCGGCGGGCCGCTCCACTGCCTCGTGCTCTGCGCGCCGGAGCTCCACGAGCTCGAGCGGGACTACCTCGCCCAGTTCCCCCTGCCCGTGGCGCCGCCGCCCGCGCCCTAACCTTACTCGGAGAAGCTCCGCTGGTGCGCGGGCCGCGCAGACGTCGACTTGAGCCGGCGCCGCGCGGTCTGGAGCCGCGGCGTCTCGTAGCGCTTCGCGGCGGCGACGATGTCGCCGAGGAGCTTCTCCTTGGACGCGGACCGGCGGAGCCGGTCCTTGGACGGCGACCGGCGGAGCTCGTCGCGGCTGCGGGACCGCGGGAAGCCCTTGCGCTCCGCGGCCCGCGGGCTCCGCCACGGCGATGGCAAGCGGTCGAAGTAGAGCGCCGCGTTCTTCCGGTAGCGCCTCCCGAGCACGGCGATGGTGCGCCACTTGACGAGCTTGACCTTGGAGATGCGCACGAGGCGCAGGGTCTTCACGATGTAGGACACGATGTTCGGCGCGGACACCAACACCTGGCGCAGGCGGCCGCGGCGCTTCGCGAACTGGAGCGCGCGCGGCGTCCAGTTGCGCGCGTGGCGCACGACGTTGCGCACTCTGCGGATGGGCCCGCGCCGCGGCACGCAGTCCACGAGGAGCGTCTTGTCGCTGCCCCGCGCGCACGGCAGCTGCGGCGCCGCCGCGTCGTACGTCGCCACGAGATCCTCGACGACCGGCAGGTAGGGCAGCACGAGGCGGTCGAAGGGCAGCGCGCACCAGATGTCGAGGAGGAAGTAGGTCTGGCAGTACCGAATCGCGATGCGCCGCTTCGACATGACCAGCACGCCCGCGCCGTCGACGTAGCCCGTGACGAAGTTGAGGAGCACGTCGCAGAGGAACCAGACGTTGACGAGCGCCGCGACCAGGCCCGCGTCCGGCCCGTCCGCGGGGGGCCGCCGCGGCTCCTCGAGGCCGAGGCACCAACCCGCCAAGGCCCGGCACTCGGGCGCGAAGACGACGGCGACGGCGAGGAGCGACGTGAGGTAGTCCCAGCGCCGCTTGAAGGCCGAGTTCGGGTGCACGGCGCCGAGGCGCGACGTCAGGCCGAAGAGCGTCATGGGGCCCCGCGGCTCGAGCGGCGGCGACGGCGCGCGGGGGGGCTCGAGCCGCTCGCGGCTCCGCACGCGCCGGAGCGACCAGGACCGCCGCCGCCGCCGCCGGTCCGCGAGGTCCCGCGCGTCGTCGGCGTCCGTGAAGATTTTCGTGAACTCGCGCTCGCGCCGCTCGGGCAGCCGCGAGAAGCCCGCGCGGACGAGGCGCGCGGCCCGCTGCCGCGCGGCGGCCGCGCGCGCCATGGGCGTCGCCGCCATGCCCTCGGACACGGCCCGCAGCTCGTCCGCGGCGGCCCGGAGCGCCGCGGCGCCGGCCGGGTCCGCCGCGGCGACGGCGCGCACCGCGCGCTCGACGCGCCGGAGCCGCGCGACGGCCACGAGCCCGGGCTCGTCGTCGTCGTCCGCCCGGGAGAAGCCGCCGGGCGTCGACGCGCCGCGCGCCAGGGAGCCGGGCGTCGCGAACCTCGAAAGGTCGTTGCACGACGCCGTCACCCGCGGCGCGGGCTCGTCCTCGTCCTCCGTGAGGAAGCCCGGCGTCCGCGACCCGAGCGTGCCGTCGTCCTCGGTCTCGCTTTCGTGGCGCGGCGCGTCCTCGTCCGTGGAGCGGCCGCTCGCGGGGCCGGGCCCGCGCCATCGCGCGGCGTCGTGCTCGTCGAGGCCGTCGTCGTCCACGGAGTCGCTGGGGGGGCGCCCGGGGCTCACCTCGACGACGATCGTCTTGCGGCCGCCGGAGCCCATCGCGGCGGTCGTGGAATGCGCGTCCGCCGCCGCGTCCCTGTCTTTCGACGACGACGATCCCAGCGTGCCGGCTTCGTTAACGGCGGGCAAGCGCTTCGCGAGGCTTTTGACCGCGTTTTTTTCTGGCGTCCGTGTGCGCGCGGGGTTTCGAAGGCGTCCCGGGGTCCTGGCCGGTGGTCGAGCGGCGACGACGAGAAAGTTCGAGGCCTGCTAAGTCGGCGCAAGCGCTTGATGCCCAGTTCACGAGCATCAACATCGACGTCAATATTTCGCTCGCTGTTTTTGTGCCGCAAGGTTAGCCTACGAAAAGCAGCTCGACACGCTGTGTCGTCCTCAACGCGAAGTATTAGGAGCCTCGGGTTACCCGTGCGGGTCCAGCCCAGGAGCGCGGGTCGCTTTCTTAGCATAACAGCGCCCAAAAAGCCGCGTGAGAGCTCCCAAGGAGCCTCGTAGCCCGCCGCGCCGCAGCACCCATACACGATGAAGTGCTGCGGCGCGGACCTGAACCACAACTTATGGCTGAACCTGGTCATCGCGGCCCTCATGGGGTTCGGCGAGTCCATCTGGACGAGCACCGTCGGCGTCGCGTTTATTTACGACGTCTGGGGCGGCTCGAACACCAAGGTCGGCCTCGCGACGGCTTTGACGGGCGTCGCGGCGATGCTCACGGCGTTCCCCGCGGGCTGGGCCGCGGACCGCTTCCGCCGCTCGGCCGTGATCCGCGTGGGCGCCGTGTCCATCCTCCTCGCCGTGCCGCTCTACGGCGCGGGCGTCGTCGGCGCGGCCGAGGGCGTCGGCCCGTCCAAGGCCGCGTGCTACGCGCTGATCTGCGTCGCCTCCGGCCTGTTCGGCGTGTCGCAGGGCATCTCCAACGGGCCGGCGCAGGCGCTCCTCGCCGACAGCGTGCCGACGGGCCAGCGGTCCAAGTTCTACAACTGGCTCTTCGTCTCGTACATCGTGCCCTCGCTCTTGGGACCCGTGATCTCGGTCGTCTACTTCGAGGTCAAGGGCAACGACTGGAGCATGGGAGCATTACGGGACCTCATGTGCCTCGGCCTAGTGCTCGAGGTGCCCGTGGGCCTCCTGTCCTGCCTCTTCCGCGACGACAAGGCGCTCGGCTCCGAGAGCGACGCTGTGCAGGACCGCCGCGCGTCCGATTTTTCTGAAACGCCGAGCGGCGACTTCGTGTCGCTGACCGACGTCGAGGACTCGAAGGAGGGCGAGCCCCCGAAGGAGGGCGGGGCCCCCGCCGGCGCGCCCGAAACCCCCGCCGCCGACGAAGAAAATGAGAAGCTCGCGGCGGACCCGCGCGTCGCTAGAGTACCGTACGTCGTCTTCGCGACGGATTTGGTCGTCGCGCTCGGCAGCGGCATGACGGTCAAGTTCTTCCCGCTCTTCTTCAAGAACGACTGCGGCATGTCGCCGGCGTCGGTCCAGGGCATCTACGTCGCCGTGCCCCTCGTCATGGCCTGCGCGTCGACCGCGGCGACGGGCCTGGCAAAAATCACGGGCCGCGTGCAGGCCGTGCTCCTCCTCCGCCTCTGCGGCCTCTGCTGCTTCGGCGCCATGGTCGTCCTCTTCGACCGCGGCTTCGCGGCGGGCCACGCGAAGTGGGCCATCGTCGCGTTCTACGTCGTCCGCACGGCTTTGATGAACTGCACGTACCCGCTCGAGGAGTCGATCCTCATGGACTACGTGCCCAAGCACACGCGCGCGCGCTGGAAGAGCCTCGAGTCCGTGTCCATGTTCGGCTGGTGCGGGTCCGCGCTCGCGGGCGGCGTGCTCGCGGACAAGTTCGGCTACACGCGCACGTTCCTCATCACCATCGGCCTCCAGGGCACGGGCATGCTCTTCTACGCCCAGCTCCTCGGCATCGTCGCCAAGGAGGCGGACCTCCAGAAGCAGGCGCCGCCGCCCGACGCCGACCTCGCCGCGCCCCTCCTCGCCGGCGACGAGCCTGAGCCGGAGACGTCGGTCCAGTAGGGCCGCTTCGCCGGGGGTAATGGCGCTTGGGCCTTGCCACAGCCGAGCACCAAAGCCGCGCCAAAATGGCCGCCTACACGCCCGGCCCCGTCGACGGCTACGCGCCGTCGACGGAGGACATGCACAGCCTCGTCGCGGAGCTGCGCGCCGCCGGCGACGCGGCCCAGCAGACCCGCGCGGCCCTGCGGCCACTCCGGGGAGCGCATCCGCGAGATGGAGGCGCGCACGGGCGCGCGCATCAAGGCCGTCAACCACCTGCGCACGCCGCTCGGCGCGCGGATCATCGTCGAGGGCCCCGCGGCCGCCGTCGACGCGGCCGCGGACTTCGTGGCCCAGTCCCTGGAGCTGGCCAAGTCGCCGCAGCGCATCGAGTGCCCCCGCGCGGCCCTCGGCAAGGTCATCGGCCGCCAGGGCGAGCGCATCAAGTCCATCATCGAGCGGTCCGGCGCGCGGCTCCAGGTGCAGCAGGACTACGAGCCCTGCTACATCGAGATCGAGAGCGACGACCCCGTCAAGCTCCAGATGGCGCGCGAGATGGTCCACAACTACATGGAGGGCGCCGTGCGGCCCTGGGCCGTCGCCGACGCGGCCGCGCTCTCCGGCGGCGCCGCGGCGTTCGGCGCGCTGCCGTCGCCCGTGGACCCGAGCCGGCTCCGGGACCCGAACGCGGTCGTGCCCGGCGGCGTCGTCGACCCCTACAAAAACGCGGACTACGCCTGGGGCTCCGCGCAGGACCCGGAGGGCCGCGTCTACTACTTCAACACCATGACGGGCCAGTCCCAGTGGGAGAAGCCCCCACACCTCCGGTAAAACATCGCTCACGTGTATACAAGGTCGCGGCGACGAGGTCCCGACGTCACGATTACGACAACTTCTTCGCGTGGACGATGAAGTTGATCGCGGGCTCCGCGTCGCCCGGCGCGAGCCACGCGCGCTGGAGACCGAAGGGCCCGGGCACGTAGTGCACGCCGCTCGCGTCCTGGACGGCGCAGCCGCTCTCGCCGAGGAGGGCCGCGAGCTCCCGCGGCGTCACGAACTTGGACCAGTCGTGCGTGCCCGGGGGCAGGAGGCCGAGGACCGACTCCGCGAGGACGACGCCGAGCGCGTAGGCGGCGGGCGTCCGGTTCAGCGTCGACACGAAGACGTCGCCGCCGGGCCGCGCGAGCGCGGCGACGGACTCGACGAAGAGCCGCGCGTCCGCGACGTGCTCGACGACCTCGAGCGCGCAGACGACGTCGTAGGCGCCGCAGTGGCGCGCGTCGCGCGCGAGGTCCTCGGGCGTGCCGTGGAGGAAGGCCGCGCCCGGCGCCGCGCGCCGCGCGGCGTCGAGCGCGCCCGCCGACGCGTCGACGCCCGTGACGGAGGCGCCCGCGGCCGCGAGCGCGCCCGAGAGCAGGCCGCCGCCGCAGCCGACGTCGAGCACGGTCGCGCCCGCGACGTCGGCGCGGTCGGTGATGTAGCCGACGCGCACGGGGTTGAGCGCGTGGAGCGGGCCGGCGCCGCTGCCGCTCGACGGGTCCGCCCAGTCCACGTCCTGGAACTTGGCGACCTCCGCGGCGTCGCGCGTCGTGCTCGCGCGGCGCGCCGGCGTCTTTGTGAGCGCGCGGCGCGGCGCCGCGCGCCGCGCGATCGGGGGGTGCGCAGCGGTCGCGAACCGCGCGGCGCGCGGCGCCAGGGCGCGCCTGAAGAATTGACTCAGCATTGCTTTGCCACAGGCATCAACACCCATAAATTAAAATTTATTTATTCAATATGCCATCATCGACCTAGAGTATCCGACCCGGGCTGCCTCTGAGCGGCGCTCTTCCGTCTGGGCGGGCCGTGAGAGAGCGGCGCTCGGCCTGACGCCGGGGGCTGCCTCGGCGCTCGACCCGGACCAACGCCGGCGCCGGCCGCGGTGCGCCACCTTGCCGTCGCCGTCGACGCACCGCCATGCGGCGGCCGAGGTCCCGCGACGCCGACGACGCCGTGGACACGATGGAGCTCCACCTCACGGGCCTGAGCGCGACGCTCCGCGCTTTGAGCCACGCGGCGAAGCAGCTGCGGCGCGACGGCGGCGTCGACGACGCGGCGGCGTCGCGGTTCCTGCGCGCCGTCGGCTCCGCGGAGCGCCTCCGCCGCGACTTCGATGCGGTCTGCGCGCTGGCGGACGACGCGCCGGCTTTTGAAGAAGACGACTGCGACGGCGGCGAGGACGCCAAGGAGGAGACGCTCGTGGAGCGCCTCAAGCCCGTCCTCCTGCGCGCCGACGCCGAGGACGCCGAGGACGACGGCGCGCCTTTGGTCCGCGCGCGCGGCTGGAGCTCCGACGACGACGGCGAGCGGCCTCGCGCGCCGAAAGGCGCGGCGCTCAACCGCGGCGAATCCTACGACGAGATGGGCGAGCTGCCGGCCATGCCCACCTTCGGACACCAGAAACACCACGAGGGCCCGAGCCACGCGCGGTCGTCGTTCCGGCCGCCCCGCGCGTCGCGGACGGCGGCGGCCGCGCGCATCTCCGTGAACCTGCGCGCGGCCCACCTGCCCCAGCTCCACGACGCGGAGCTCGAGGCCCCGGGCCCGCCGGCGGGCGGGCTGCCCCCGCGGGGGTCCATGGTGCGCTGGGGCGGCGGGTCGCAGGGCGCGCCGCTCTCGCACCACGCGTCCAAGAAGCGGCAGCGGCGACTCAGCAGCGTCGACGAGGAGCAGCGGCGCTTCGCGGGCCGCGTGCGCGAGGCCTTTGGCCAGCGGACGGGCGCCACGAAGGCGTCGGACGTCGAGGCGCTCATGACGGCGCTCGGGCGGACGGCGCCGAAGCGGCTCGTGGACCACGCGCTGTCCGCGCTGGGCTTCGACGAGCGGCAGAGCCTCGACGAGCAGGCCGTCGTCGATCTTTGCCTGATTATCGAGAAGCGCCGCGCGCGGGCCGTCGTCGACCGCTGCAAGCGCCACAGCGCGGACCTCATGCACGTGTCGGGCAACGACGACTTCGTGCGAGTGGTCGGCACGACCTACGAGGGCTACTGCGGCGCGCCGCTCAATTTACCGACGTCGCCGACGGTCCAGATGTTCGATTTGTTCATCATGGTCATTTTATTGTACGTCTTCGTGTCCCTGCCGCTCTGCCTCGCGTTCGACCGCATCAACGCGCGCCTCAAGTGGGTGAATCTGGCCTGCGACTGCTGCTTCATGATCGACATCGCCAAGAACCTGAACACGGGCTTCGTCGACGAGCACGGCACGATCATCATGGAGCGGCGGCAGGTGTTCTACAACTACCTGAAGACGTGGCTCGTCATCGACCTCTCGAGCTCGATCCAGCGTCGAGCGACAGGAGTGTTTTTTCGCGTGAATCTCGCCTGAAGATTTGAAGAAATCCGACCCCGTCGCACTTGGTAGGCTCGATCCCGATCACGGAGATCTTGGAGATCGCGGGCTCGTCGGGGTCAGGGCAGGAAAAGGGTGATTCAAGTTCTCTTCAACATGAGTGTTCCGCGCGCGCGCGTTCCGGAAAAAGCATCCATGCTTCGAGACCGTTCCGAAAGATGATCGCTCGTCCAAAAATCAGCCGAAACGAGTGGAAAACGGCCGAGATCGGAGCCTTTGAAGTTGGGAATTTCGCACTCTTGTCCTGCCCAGGTCGGGGTCGTCCTACCTGCGGTCGACGAAGTCGCTGCGCATGCTGCGCTTGATTCGCATGACGAAGCTGCTCAAGCTGTTACGGGCGTCGCAGCTCGTGAACAAGGTGCGGAATTTGTGGATCGAGACGCTCGAGTACTACCGCGTCCACGTCTCCGACTCGTCCGTGAAATTATTGCGCCTCTTCGCCATGATGCTCACGCTGTCCCACTGGGGGTCCTGCCTCATGTTCATCCTGCTCAAGTCCTACAACTACCCGCGGCAGGCGTGGGCCGTGCGCTGGAAATTGGTCCGCCACGATAGCGGCGTGCCGCTCGTGTCCGTGGCGCACTGCTACTCCTGGGGCATCTACAAGAGCCTGCTCCTGGTCGTGGGCACGGCCTTCCAGGAGTTCCCGTCGGCGCAGATCTGCTACGACACGCAGGGCTGGTGCTTGGTCGAGTCGTGGATGACGCTCGCGGGCTTATTTTTGGGCTGCTTCTTCAACGCGGCCGTCGTGTCGACGATCACGGCGATCATCGTGAATTCCAACGTGTCCACCCAGGAGTTCGAGGAGCAATTACTACGGACGAACGAGTACATGCGGTCGCTGCACCTGCCGACGGAGCTGCGGGACCGCATCCGCGAGTACTACTTCCACCGCTGGTCCGAGGGCAAGATCTTCGACGAGACGCTGATTCTGGAGCGGCTGAACCCGGAGCTCTGCACGGAGATTTTGTTCTACAAGATCCGCGAGCTCGTGCCCAAGGTGCCGCTCCTGCGGACGTCGGGCAAGCGGTTCCCGGAGCTGCTGGCCGCGTCCATGGAGCCCCAGGTCTTCGTCGCCGGCGACATCGTGGTGACGGAGGGCGAGACGGGCAACACGATGTACTTCATCGACAAGGGCCTCTGCGAGATCTTCCTCGAGGCCGCGGGCAACGAGGTCGTGAGGGTCTTGGCCGACGGCTGCTTCTTCGGCGAGGCCGCGTGCCTGCTCAAGGTGAAGCGCACGGCGACGATCCGCTGCAAGCACATCATGTCCGTCTACGGCGTCGACGGGGACACGGTCCAGGTCGCGCTGAGCGACTACCCGGACGTCGGCGCGTACCTCGAGCGCGTCGCGCGGAAGCGCATCGCGCGGCTCGACGCGCTCCGCGTCAACAGCGCCATGGAGCCCGGCGCGCCGGGCCTCGACGAGGACGACGACGAGGACATGCGCACGCCCCTCTTCCAGTCCATCGCGAACCGCGCGACGGCCCTCGACCCGGACCGCGGCCTCGGCGGCATGATCCGGAGGACGACCCAGGTCCTCAAGGGCGCCGGCGCGAAGAAGGTCGACGCCTACGCGCCGGACGCGTCCGACTTCAAGACCGCGCCCGACGGCTAGGGGGGCGGTTTTTAACCGTTCCTAGGTCCACGCGGCCGCGACGGCGAGCCCGGGCGGCTCCGCGGCCGTCGCCGCGAAACCCAGGTCCCCTTTTTCGAGGAAGCCCGCGTCGGTGCGCCCGCCCCGGAAGTCGCGCGCGACGACGAACGCCTCGACGGACCGGTCCCGGGAGCTCGCGGGCTTCCGGACGTCGACGTCCACGAACAGACACCGGAGCTGCGCCTCGACGAGCGCGGCGTCGGTGCACCGGAAGAGCTTGGCGACGAAGGCGCCCCCGGGCCGCAGCAGTCGCGCGGCCAACGCCGCCGCCGCGGCCATCAAAGAAGCGTGCGCGAACTCGTCGACGTCGTGGACGCCCGTGACCTCGGGCGCGCCGTCGCAGACGACGACGTCCGCGGGCCCGCCCGCCGCGGCGACGACCGCCGCCGCCGTCTCCGGCGTCGTGATGTCGCCGCGCAGCACGACGACGCCGTCGAGCGGCGCCATGGGCTGCAGGTCCACCGCGACGACGGCCGCGCCGGCGGGGCACCGCCGGCGCAGCACCTGGCACCAGCTGCCGGGCGCCGCGCAGAGGTCGACGACGCGGGCCGCGTTCGCCAAAAGATGGAACTCGTCGTCGACGTCCATGAGCTTGTAGGCGCTGCGCGCGCGGAACTTCTCCTCCTTGGCCTTGCGGTAGCGGGCGCAGGGGCCCCGGTGCGTGGCCATCGGCGGCGTCGACAGGTGCACGCGACGCGTCTACCCGCTCGTGGCGGCGAGGTTGGCGGCGGCGACGGCGGCGGCGAGGGAGGCTAGCGCGATGGGGTGGAGAGGGGGCGGGACCATCGGTGACGAGGATGATCGCTGAAAGCACCTTGAACGGCAACGAGCAGTTTACGCGTCCAGACTCGCCCCCCGCCCCCAGCAGGACGCGGCGGGCGTGGCGACGCGGGCGTCGTGGTCCGGCGCGAGGAGGTCCGGGCACCAGCGCAGCAACCCGAGGACGCGCCGCGCGAGGGACCCCGGCGCCCGCTTCGGCTGGTCCCGCCGGAGGAAGGGCAGGTGCAAAAGCAGGAGCTCCGGCCGGTGGAGCCGCGCGAGGTCGTAGAGCACGCGCTCGGGCCGCGCGCCCGCCGGGAGCTCGAAGGCCGTGACCGCGTCGTCGCGCGCGTCGTCCGTCGCCACGCGCGCGGTCGCCTCGTCGACGGAGACCAGCGACGCGTTCGCGAAGGGCGCCTCTTTCGCGTGCGCGAGCAGGTGCGTCGCCGCGTGGTCCACGCCCAGCTCCTCCAGCGACTGCAGGTCCAGGTAGGTCCACAGAAAGAAGACGCGGTCCTCGTGGTGGAGCGCCGGCAGCCACAGCGTCCGCCCGGTCTCGAGGCACGCGGAAACGAGGTGGGCCACCGCGAGCCGCGCGCGCGCCAGGGATTTTGCAACGGCTGGCTCAAACAGGGCCAGCGCGTTGACGAGGCCGTCGCCGCCGTCGTGGCCCAGCAGGGGACCCGTAGGTCGGGAAGACGACAGCCCGAGCTCGCGCGCCAACAATCGCCTTCCCTCCAGCGCGCGCGTCCGCAGCAGGCCCGGCGCCGGCGGCGCCGGCGCGTCCCGCGGCGCGTCGGCCGCCAGGAACTCCGGCTCGCCCTTGGCCAAAAAATCGCGGAGCGGCCCGGGCTCGAGCACCGCGGCCGCGAGACGCCGCGACGCGACGTCCAACGCGCCGAAATTGGGCCGGTCGCCGCAGGGCGCGACGGACTCCGCGAGGCGCCGGTCGCCGGAGCTCCCGAGCTTGAGCTCCGAGGCGAGGGCGCGGCCGAGCTGCAGCGCCGACGACGCGGCCTTGGCCGTCGCCGCGAGGCGCGTCAACGCCCAGCCCGTCGCGTTGCCGGGATCCGCGGCGACGAGGCCCAGGCACGCGAGCCGCGTCGACCGCTGCCTGACGGCGACGAAGATGCGCGCGTCCTTGGGCCGCCCCGGCGCCTTGGCGCCGATCTCCAGATCCAGCGCGAGGCGCGCGTTCGACGGCGCCGTCGCCGCCGGCGGAGACCGGGACACGTCGAAACCCGGTCTCGGCGTTTCGACGGGCGCCGCGGGCGCGGGCCAGGCGGCGCCGAACTCGACGACGACGGACGCGACGCCCTTGAAGGCCAGGTCGCCGGCGACGGCGAAGCGCGCGACGTCCCGCGCGCGCGCGTCCGCGCCGCGGCGCTCGCCCGTCGTCCGCGTCTTCACCGCGGCGGCGGCCGGCGCGGCCGGGCGGGCCTCGTCGCCGTCCTCCGCGCCGACGTCCGCGAGCGTGCTGCCCTCGAGCAGCTTCTCGAAGAGCGCCGCGTCCGCGAGGGGGTCGCCCGTCGACAGGAGCCGCCGCCGCCCCTTGAGCGCCGCGTCCGCGAACGCGCGCGCCAGCAGCGCGCGCCCCTCGTCCGCGACGGCGTCCGTCGCCGCGATGGCCGGCAGCCCCGCGGCGCACAACGCCGCGAGGCTCGCGGCGTCGGCGGCGGCGAAGGCGACCTGGCCCGGCGCACCGAAGCCGCCGCCGGCCGCGAGGCTCCGCGCGAACGCGCGGACGCGCCGGAGCGACGGGTAGTCGCGCGTCGCGTCGTAGCCGACCAGACCCAGCGCGACGCGCCGGCCGTTCGCGGCGTCGGCGACGGCTCGCAGCTGGGCCTCGCGCGTCGCGCCGAGCGCGCAGGCCTGCTGCGGGCGCTTGTGGGCCTCCGGGTCCTCCAGTTGCTCCGCGAGGCGCCGCCGCACGAACGCGGCGGCCGTCGCCGCGGTGCCGTAGAACTCCGCGCCGCGCGCGCGGCGCCGGCCCCGCGCGCGCTCCAGGGCGTCGACGTCGACGGACGGCAGGGCGCGGGCGGCGCCCTCGGCGCCGACGCCCGCGGGCGTCGGCCGCAGCCGCGGCGCGCGGCGCCACGTGTCCGAGTACGCGAGCGCCGGGGGCCAGCGCGACTCGCCGCCGCCGCGCGCCGCGAGCGTGTCGCCGGGCGCGACGACGGGCCGCGCCGCCCGGTCGCGCCAGTGCGCGACGGCCGCCGCGAGCTCGCTCGGCGCCGCCGCCGCGGATTGGAGCGCGGCCGCGGCGGCCTCGGCGGCCCGCGCCGCGGCCGCGCGCTCCGCGGAGGCGCGCTCCGCCGCGGCGTCGGCGGCGTGGCGCGCCGCCGTCGCCACGTCGCGCTGCCGCGTCGCGTCCGCGTCGGCTCGCACCGCGCGCGCGTCCGCCGCCGTCGCCCGGGCCTCGGCCGCGGCAAGCGACACGCCCTGGGCTTCGGCGAGCGCCTTGATCTGGGCGGTCTCGTGCATCTCGAGGAACAGCAGGAACGTCGCGACGAGCGTGAACACGCCCAGCACGCATGTTACAGGGTTCGGACCGCTGCGGCGGCCGCCGCGCGAGGGTGCGCCCATTGCGGCTGCCCTCGAATTTATATTGCTTCAATAATTCTCGGCACGCAGCTTGTTGAAGTCGCCGAAATGCGTTGTGGTGGTGGAGCAATCGAGCTGTGGTGGAGCAGCGTCGAGGCGAAGTCGTCTTTCGACGCCGCGTCCAACACGATGAGCGCGGCGAAGGCACCGCCCGCGCCGCCCGCGGAGGCGGAGGCGCCGCTCCCGAAGCCGGAGCCCATCGCCGTCTACCTGCGCTTCGAGGAGGACGCGGACACGGAGAAGCACAGCGCCATGCGCGCGACGCTGCCCGCGCGCTGGGTGCACCGCGAGACCCTGCGGAAGGTGCTCGACATGTTCTTCGACTCCTACGAGTCGAAGCACCCCGCGGGCGCCAAGGAGACGCGGGCCGACGCGACGCTCTGGGGCGACGCGAGCCGGAAGAAGCTCGACCTCGACGCGAAGATCACGCCGCTGCTCGCGCTCGAGGAGACGCTCTGGGTGCGCACGCGGGACGACGACGCCATCCAGGCCTACTTCGACGCCAAGCCCGTCGTGCGCCAGTCCAAGTTGTTGCGCCTCACGGAGGGCGCGAGCGACGACGCCACCGGCGACGCGTCGGCCGAGCTCACGGAGTACGTGCCGCGCGTTTTGGTGAAAAAAGAGACGATGACGCTCGAGGAGATGCGCGCGCTGAACCAGAAGCGGCTCGTGACGCGGGCGACGCAGCTCGTGGATTTGTTCGCCGTGCCGTCGGACGACGGTATCGTGGCGGAGTGCCGGAGGGTCGCGAACGACGACGGCGGCTACGGCGGGCCCGAGGAGGTGCTCATCGCCAAGTGCGGGCGGGGCGTCTTCGAGCTGAGCACGGTGCGCGAGCACCGCGACGAGGGCCGCTACGCCGACGCCATCGGCCGCGTCTGGAACCAGCTCAGCGGTCTGCTCCCCGACGACGTCGTCACGGGCGGCTACGTGCCGCTGCGGCGGGAGTTCGGCAAGGTCGTCGGCGACATGCACGGGCGGAAGTGGGTCACGCGGCCCTTCTTCGAGGGCGACCCCTGCGGCGACCCGGCGGTGCTCGGGCGCGTGCTCGGCCTGTGCCACCGGGCGGTGCTGCGGACGCGCGCGCACGAGCAGGCCTGCGAGCTCATGGAGCTCAAGGCGCGGCCCTTCGACGAGCGGTTCCCCGAGGACTACAAGTGGGCCCAGGGCATCTTCGAGTCCGTGGAGACGTCGGACTGCGAGGAGGTGCTGAGCTCCGCGGGGAAGGTGGCGAAGATCGCGTCGCGGCACCAGCAGCTCATCGACGACGCCGCGACGCTGGCGACGATCCAGGCGCAGCCCCTGATCTGGACGCACAGTAGGTTCCGGTCGCGCCACGTGCGGCGCAACGCGAAGACGCGGCGCTGCCGCGTCGACGGCTGCGAGATGGGCCAGATCCACTGCCGCCTGGCGGACCTGTACCACTTCTTCGTCTGGGACGAGACGAAGGACGGGTTGCTCGCGGGGAAGGCGGCCTTTCCCGTCGCGCTGCGGGCCTACGCGCAGCACTCCGAGTGGCCCTTCTCGCCCGTCGAGGCGCGGCTGCTGCCGGCGGTGCTCTACTTCAAGGCGTGCCTCGAGCTCGCAACGGTGCTCGACGAGCTCATGCGCATCGACGAGAAGCCCCTGTACATGCTCAAGGCGCGCAAGGCGCGCGTCGAGGCCGAGAGCTACCGGGGCACGGGCGCGCCGCGGTTCGGGACGAAAGACGCGCGGCTCAAGCTGCTGCACCGGCGGCGCCGCGGCTGCCTGCTCGCCGTCGCCGCCGTCGAGAAGCACGCGGACTTTATTGTGGAGGCCTGCAGCGACGCGAACCCCAAGTTCCTGACGGCCGCGGCGAACCACATCCAATTGATGCTGCCCGCGGCCGAGGGGACCGCAATCGAGGACCCGGCGGCCGTCGAGGCCGCGGAGGAGAAGCTCGTCGAGGAGAAGGCGGCGGCCAAGGGCGGCGGCTTCTGGGGCACCTTCGCCGCCAAGGCCGAGGTCCACGGCGGCAAGCTCGGCGCGCGGTCGAAGAAGAAGCAGCTCGGCGAGCTCACGGAGGGCTGCTACGAGGACATTCTCGAGGGCCGGCTCGAGGAGGGCGCGAAGCTCGTGGCCCAGTACGAGCTCGCCAAGGGCCCCAGCGCCGGCGAGGGCACGGTTGTCGCGAGCGCCGGCGCCGCGTCGGCGCTGGCCTACGGCCGCGCGGTCGCGGGCGTCGTGTTGCGCCTCGCGCGCGACGCGAAACGGTCCGCGCACGTCGCGGAGCACATGCGGAGCCTCATCCCGAAGCTCGTCGTGCTGGACAGCGTGGATGCGTTGGTGGAGGGGGCATTGGAGGCGCACCTCGAGCGCCACCAGTGCGAGCCGCGCGTCGACGTCGCGGCCTGGACGGCGCGGGCCGAGCGCGACGGGTTGCACGAGTCCCTACACCGGCCGAACCGGGGCCAGGTCGCCGCGGCGGCGTCCCACTGCGTCGCCTGGCGCTACTGCTTGGACAGCGGCGCGCCGCATTTGCTCGTGCTCGAGGACGACGCCGATTTAGCGCCGGGCGTGCACGAGGCGGTGGCCCTCGCGCTGGCGGAGCTGCCCCACGACTACGACCTGCTCTACCTCCACGTGCCGCCGCGCTTCTTTCGGGATGACGACGACGTGCGGAGCTTCGACGACGCCACGGGGGCGGAGCGCGCGCACGTGAATTGCGCCTACGACACGTGGTCGCTGACGGCGTACGTCGTCAGCAAAAAGGGCGCGGGCCGGCTCCTCGATCTGGCGATCCGCGGCCTCGACGCGCCCCTGGGCACGGTCGTGAACCGGGAGGCCCTCGCGGGCCACCTCGAGGCCTACACGCCCCGGGGCGCGCCCGCCGTCGCGAGCCGCGGCACGTTGGCGCTCGCGACGAAGCGCGAGACGCAGGACCAGTTCTTCGCGTCCAACGTCCTCCTCACGCCCGCCTGGGTCGACCCCCTCGACCGCGACGGCGCGCCGACCGCCGAACGGCTCGAAGACGACGACGACGACGACGACATCGCCATCCAGGACGTCGTCATCGACGACGGCGACAGCAGCGACGACGACGCCGACGGCCGCGAGTGACTTTTGACAGACCCGCCTTGGCATAACTCGGAGAGACGGCGGTTTACTAAGAGGGCGCGCGGCAATCGGCGGCGGCGGGCAGTGTGCCCGCCTACTTGCCCTTCTTGATGCCGGAGACGATGTCGTCGACGCGGAGGATGAGGCTCGCGGCCTCGATGGCCGTCTTGATGGTCTGGACCTTGACCGCGTAGGGCTCCCAGATGTTGGGGCCGTCCGTGTCGTTCATGTCGACGACGTCGCCGCAGGTGCCGTCGATGCCCCAGGTCGGGCCGCTGTCCTTCTGCTTCGCGCGGAGCTGCGTGAGCGCGCGGACGACTTTCGCGCCGCAGTTCATGGCGAGCGTGCGCGGGATGACCTCCATGGCCTCGGCGACGGCGCGCACGGGGAACTGCTCGACGCCCGGGAGCTTGGCGGCCTCCTCCTGGAGCGCGTGCGCGACGGCCATCTCCGCGGCGCCGCCGCCCGGGAGCAGCTTGGGCTCGAGGACGACGTTGCGGATGACCTGCATGGCGTCCTGGAGGTTGCGCTCGACCTCGTTGAGCACGTCCTTGGACCCGCCGCGGAGGAGCAGCGTGCAGGCCTTGGCGGACGTGCACCCTTCCAGGAACGCGAAGTACTCGTCGCCGACCTTCTTCACCTCGAAGGTGCCGCAGCCCGTGCCGACGTCGGATTCCTGGATCTCGTCCGTGCGCGAGCAGATGGTCGCGCCGCAGGCGCGCGCGACGCGGTTGTTGTCCGTCTTGCGCAGGCGGCGGAAGGCCGTGATGTTCGCCTTCATCAGGTAGTGCTGCGCCAAATCGGACACGCCCTTCTCCGTGATGACGACGTCGGGCCGCGCGGCGACGATCTGGGCGCACATGTTCTCGATGTACTCCTCCTCGATGCGCAGGAGCGTGTTCCAGTCCTCCTCCTTGGAGATCTCCACGCTCGCGGACGACTCGCCCTTCTTGTACTCCAGGGGGCAGTCGAGGAGCAGGATGCGCGGGTTGGCGATCTTGCGGCGCATGCGCGGGTGGGTCACGTCCTTGTTGAACATGACGCCGTCCAACACGCGCGAGTCGCTCGGCTCGCCGCCGGGGAGCTTCTCGACCTTCGCGTAGCGCTTGATGTCGACCTCCTTGTGCGACTCCTTGCCGTCGACGCCGCCCTTCTCGACGACGACCTTGAGGGTCGCGCCGATGGCCATCTCGATGACCTTGTCGCCCCAGCGCGACGAGAACTTCGTGCCGATGCAGGACTCGACGAGCGCGCGGAGCGCGGCCTTGTCGTCGAGGCTGATGGGCCGCGCCATCGCGTCGCAGGCCTTGATGGCCGCGTCGCGCGCCGCGCTGTAGCCCCGGTTGATGACCGTCGGGTGGATGTTGCGCGCCAGCAGCGGCTCGGCGACCTGGAGCATCTCGCCCGTGAGCACGATCACGGACGTCGTGCCGTCGCCGACCTCCTCGTCCTGCGCGCGACTGAGCTCGATCATCTGCTTCGCCGCCGGGTGGCTCACGTCGATCTCGCGGAGGATGGCGTTGGCGTCGTTCGTGATGACGATGCCGCCCATGGGGTCGAGCAGCATCTTGAGCATCGCGCGGGGACCCAGCGTCGACCGGACGATGCCCGAGACGGCCTGCGCGGCGCCGATGTTCGCGAGCTGGGCGCTGCGGCCCGTGTCGCGCTGCGTGTTCTGGTTGAGCACGAGCATGGTGGCGGGCTGCGCGGGGGGGGGCGGGGTGACGACAGCGACGCCTTGGGGCGGCAGGCGGCGGGGCGCGCGGCGGCGGCGCGGGCGCGACCGCGCGACGGCGACGCGGCGCGCCGCCGGCGGCGGCGGCCGCGCCGGACCGCAGAAAGGTGGGGCGGGACGCGCGTTTTGGACGCGGCGAGCGCACCCGGTGGCGCTCAGCGCTGTGGACGGCGACCGCGAGCAGGCGCTTGCTGGCCGTCGGCGAGCCAAAGCTGAAGAACTCACAAATCGATCGTGCCGCGAGACGATGGGCCGCTGATCTCCTCGCGGCTGCCCGCCACACGACACCAAACCATGGCCGAGGTCACCTTCGCGGCGGAGGAGACCGACGAGAAGAAGCCGACGATGATCCACCAGAGCACCATGATGACCGTCAAGGAGCTCTGCCTCGAGCTCGAGTTCGGCACGGAGCAGTCGCAGGAGGACGCGGCGGCCATCGCCATGGACATGGCCATGGACGGGGAGTGGAGCAAGGAGCTCGGCGACCACCACGCCGTCATGTTCCTCGTGCAGATTCTCAAGCTGCCCCGGGGCGACGACTGCAAGCAGTGGGCGGCGGGCGCGCTCAGTACGTTGAGCTACCGCGCGGAGAACGCGGCGGAGCTCATCAAGCGGGGCGGCGTCGACCTGCTCGTCGACCTGCTGCGGAACAAGGGCAGCGACGGCCGCAAGGGCTACGGCGCGTGGGCGCTCGCGACGCTCGCGTCCGTCGACGACGACCATCGCAAGGCCGTCGCGGCCGCGGGGACCATCGGGGCCGTCGTCCAGCTCCTCCAGGCGGCGGACGTCGGCGAGTCGGCGAAGCGCTACGCCTGCTCCACGGTCTGGAACCTGTGCCCCGACGCGGACCTGCGGAAAAAGGTCGTCGAGGCCGGCGCCGTCGAGGCGCTCGCGCCGCTCGCCGTGTCCGCGGCGGACGAGGGCTGCCGCGAGTGGGCGAAGATCGCGTTGGACGCCGTCGGCTGGAAGTCGAAGGAGGTCCAGGAGCGGTGCGCGGCCGCGCGGCGCGCGCTCGTCGGCGAGGAGCCCGACAACAAGCGCGAGGTCGACGCGGACGGCGCGCCCGCGCCGATCATGGGCGCCTTCGGCGAGGTGTGGTAATCATTATCGCGCGAGGCCCGGGTCGACGCGCGACGACGCGCGGCCGGACATGCGGGGGAAGAAGCCGCCGCCGCCCTTGGCGGCCGGCGGGACGGGCTCGGGCTTCGCGAAGTCGTCGTCCTTGCGCCGGCGGTCGAACTTGGACCAGTCGAACTGGATCAAAGCGCTCTCGACGCGGGCCCGCAGGCGCGCGTTCGTCGCGCGCTCCGCGTCCGGCGACGCCGCGAGCGCCCCTAAAATCGCGGCGCGGTCGCGGTCCGCGTGCGCCGCCGCGCGCGCGACGTCGAGCCCGCCGAGGAGCGCCGCGCCGCCGTCGGCGTCCAGGGCCTCGACGAAGCGCGCCCGGTGGGCCCGCGCCATCGTGAAGTGGAGGCACAGATTCGGCTCCGCGAGGCTCCTCGAGATCTCGAAGAGGCACCAGAGCCGCGACAGCGCCGTCGCGGCGCCGTCCAAAACGACGACGACGGTGCCGATGGTGCCCACGCAGGCCGCGACCGTCGGCAACGCCACCGATGGCGACTGGGGCGCCGGGGGCAGACTAAAGACGTCGATCCAGAAGAACGTCGTCGACGCGTCGTAGCCCTCGTCGTCGAGGTAGGCCTCCAGCGCGTCCAGCAGCCCGCGGAAGGGCGCCCCGTGGGCGTGCGACACGTAGAGCGACGCCGCGCCCGCCGCGCGGTCGCCGTCGCGCGTCCGCGCGCCGTCGCCGAGCTCGTCCGCGAGCGGGAGCTTCGTGCCGCCGCGGTCGCGCGCGGCCATCGTCGGCGTGTTCGGCTGGAAGCCCTGGTCCGCGGCGAACTCGCGCAGGAACGCCAATGAGAGACCGCGGCAGAAGGCCACCGTCGAGTCGATGGACGAGATCTCGGGCGGCGCCTTGTCCGGCAAGCACGCGGCCGTGTCCGCGTCGCCGCCGTCGTCGCTCGGCGACCGGACCTCCACGACCGTGACGACCTCGACGTCGGCGTCGGGCGCGGGCGGCGGCGGCGACGAGGACGGCGCGGGCGGCGGCGCGGCCGCGGCGGCCGCGCGCCGCTTCTCGTCGCGCCGCTTCTGCCACGACGAGTGGCGCCTCGTCGACGGGTTGTAGGCGGCGAGCTCCTCGAGGGCGGCCTTGAACTCGGCCTTGGCCGCGAAGCGCATCATGTTGCCCCGGAGCATGCGGTCGATCTCCGCGGCGACGCCGTCGAAGAGCGCCGCGTCGCCCGCCGATTCGTCGTAGATCTTCGCCCGTAACTTGCCCGCCATCTTCGACGACACGTTGACCTGCGTGTCGCAGCCCGGCGCGATGAAGGCGTCGTAGAGGGTCCTCGCCATGGCGTTGGCCTCGTCCGCGTCCGTGACCTCGCCCTCGGACGCGGCGACGCGGCGCCGGTAGTCGGCGATCGCGTCCCAGCACTCGTGGTTCTCCGACGCGAGCTCCGCATCCAAGAATTTCCGGAAGGGGTCGCGCGTCACCGGGTGCGACAGCACGGCGCCCGCGCTCGCCTTCTCGCGCATGGCCTTGATCTCGAACTCCGCGCGCGCGGCGGGCGATTCGAGGAAGATGTCGCGGAACCGCGCGCCGTCGACGCAGGCGCAGACCGCCGGCGACGCGGCGATCACCGTCGCGGACCGCGGCTCCGCGCGCGCGAGGGCGAGCTCGCCGAAGTAGTCGCCCTTGGTCTTCAGGGTCACGATCTCCGCGCCGCCCTTATCTCGAATCGTCACCTCGCCCTGCAGCAGGATGAAGAAGTCGTCGCCGGCGTCGCCGTAGGCGAACAGGGTCGTCTTCGGCGCGAAGCTCCGCACCTCCATGGTGCCCGTGAAGTGGCGGAGCCGATCCGGCTCGACGTCGTGGAAAATGGGCAGATCGAGCGCCTGCAGCTGGCCCGTCATGCGCAGCTTCACGGCGTCCTGCACCTCCGCCGCGGCCACGGGGAAGTCGCGGATCGCGTCGAGGAAGGGGCCCGCGTCGAAGCAGAGGAGTAAGGACTGCTCGCGCGTGCGCACCGTCGCGGACGCGCGGAGCGCCTCGCGCCGGACGAGCGTCGCGCGCTGCGGCGCGTCCGCGCCCTCGTCGCGCTCCCGTTCCAGTAATGACAGCTCGCCGAAGAAGTCGCCGGCGGCGAGGACGCCAACGTCCCTCGCCTCCGGGTCCGCCTCGAAGTCCGACGTGCCCTCGTCGTCGCCGCGGCTCGGCGACCCGAGGCCGGCCCGCGCGGAGGCCGTTTTTGGTGTACCCCGGAGGAAGTTGAAGCCCGACGCCGCGCCCCGGCCCGAGCCGCCCCCGGGCTTGAGCCGCACCGTGCGGCCCGCGCCGCCGAGGCGCTCCAGGAGCGTCGCGGGCCGCGACGCCGACGCCGCCGCCGCCTCGGCGTCGCGCGCGCGCGCCTCCCGCGCCTCGAAGGCCGCCGCGTTGCGCGTCGCCGCCGCCTCGGACCCGATGCTCACGTCCAGCGCCCCGGCCAACACGATGTAGAACTTGCGCGTGGGCTCGCCCTGCGCGACGATCTGCTTCCGCCCGTGCACGGACCGGAACGTCGCGAGCTGGCTGAGCACGGCCAGCGCTTTCGGGCTCAGGCCCCGTAAGAACGACGTCCGCCGCATCCAGTCCACCGTCGACGTGTCGCAGGCCTTCTCGGCCCGCTCGCAGAAGTCGGCCACGGGGGGGTTCTCCGACGCGCGCATCGCCGCGAACTCGAGCTTCGGCAGGCTCAGCAGCAGGGCGTCCCCGCCGCCCCGGGGCACGACGACGTCCGTCGGGTAGACCTCGCGCTCCCGCACCCGCGAGTCGCGCCGCTGGTCCACGCCCTTGACGAGCTCCATGACGCCGCAGACCTCCTTCGGGCCCATCGTCCGCAGCACTTTGCGGTCGCGGCCGCCGAGGCTCGCGCGCCGGAACATGGCCGCGGAGAAGGAGCCGAGCATGTTCCGCGACGACCCCGCCGGCGCGGAAGCGCCCGCCGGGTTCACGACGAGGTCCACCTCGCCCGCGACGACGAAGAAGAGGTCGTCGCGGCCGACGCGCCTGAAGACGGAGCCCGACCGCACCTGCTGCAGGGCGAAGTGGGGGGCGAGCGCCTTCCAGTGGGCCTCGGCGCCGGCGCCGGGCGACCCGAAGAGGCTCCCGTGGCACTCGGCGAGCTGGGCCAGGAGCGCCGGCACGTCCCGCGCCTCCGCCGCCGCCGCCCAGGCCGTCCCATCGCCCGCCGGCGCCGCCACGGTGCTGGTTTGTTCCGGCGGCTCCGCGCACGCGGAGCACCGGAGCGTCGGCGACGAGGGCGGGCCTCGGTGTCCTTCGGCCCGCGCCGCCGTCGGACGAGGACGGGCCCGACAAGCAGCCCCGCAGCAGCGGTTTCCGCAATGTGCCGAGGGACTTGCCGTGAGAGGATCTTTATATTGCACATAGAGTTTACTCTTCAACCCGGACTTCAACCCGCATCGACCCAGCCGTGCACGTCCCGCCAGAGGCTCGCGTGGCGCTCCTTGAAGAACCCGTGGTGCCCGACGCCCGCGATGTCGGGCCGGAGGTACGTCGTCGCGTCGCCGAAGGCCGCGTCGTGGAACGACCGGACCGCCGCGAGGTCGCCGTACTCGTCGTCCCCGAAGGAGAGGGACGCGACGCTGCCCGGCGCCGGGGTTGTGCCATCGTGCCACGGGCTCCCTTCGAGCACCCATCTTCGCCAGCCGAGCATGACGGCCGACGGCACGTCTTCGAAGAGGCCCAGCGACTTCGCGGGGAATCGGCCGAACGCGGAGCACAGCGCGGGCACGCCGACCTTCCAAAAGGCCTGGAGCGCGAGGCCGTTCTGCCGTTGATGGCGGAGCTCGTTGTTCATGGAGGAGATCGTCAGGAGGCGGTCGACGCGGTCGCGGCGCGCGAGCGTCCCGAGGAATTGCGCGCCGATGCTGTGGCCGACGAGCGTGATCGGTCTGTCGAACTCGTCCGACGCGTAGCCCAGCACGTCGTCTTGATTTGTCGCCCAGTCGTCCAGCGTCGCGTGCTCGTAGCCTTCGGGCTTGCTCGCCCCAACGCCCACATAGTCAAAGGTCACTGCGTTCAGGCCTTCGCTGCTCACATGAGCTGCGTACTTTTCGTAGAATCTCTGCTTGACGCCGAGAGCGCCTGCAATGACGACCGTGCGATGCGCACCGCCGCTGCCTTTCCAGACGCGCAAACCTAAACCGCACGCCAGTCTATGGGCAGCCATCGGCTATCAAGCACGCTTTTCGAAACGTCAACTACTCGTCAATCGACGCGAGAAGATACGAATAGAAAAACACGGGAGCTATGGTGCGGCAGCAGCCTCGGTGCGCCGGGGCGGCCGCCCTGCTCGCCCTGGTCGCCGCCCTACCCCCCGCCGGCGCCGTGGAGCTCCAGCTCGGCGCGTTGCTGCCCTTCACGGACCAGGCCGGCGGCGTCTACGAGGACGGCATGCAGCGGAGCGTCGCGGTGGCCTACCTCGAGGCGGCCAGGGACTTCAACGCGCGCGACGGGTCGCTCGTGGCGGCCTTCGCGAACTTCAGCGACTGCGCGTACACGCTCAACGTGTCCGTCGCCGACACGGGGGACAGCCCGGGGAGCTTCCCCTCCGCCGTCTACGACGCCGCGGGCGCTCCCTACGACGCGTACCTCTCGGGCCGGTCGCTGACGACCGTGGCCGTCGCGGCGACCTACACGGGCCTCGCGAGCCGGCTGCTCGTGTCGTCGTCGGCGACGGCCGCGGCCTTCACGAACAGCGGCTCGTTCCCCTACTTTGCTCGGACGTGCCCCGTCGACTACAACGCGGCCATAGCCGTCGCGGACCTCCTCCACGCCTACGGCTACACGACCTTCGGCATCGTCGTCGACGACACGGACCCGGCGACGGGCAACGTCGCGACGAACGTCGCGAGCTCCGCGGAGCTGCGCGCCTACGGCATCTCCGCGTCCGTGTCCGTGCCCATCTACGACTTTAGCGACGCGGACGAGACGGAGGCCATGCTCGAGGTGCTCGTGGACCAGGGCGTCAAGATCATCGTCGCCGTCGTCTTCGCCCAGAACTTCCCGGCCCTCGTCGACGCGGCGGAAGCCGTGGGCCTCTTCAACCCGAAGACGCTCTGGATCTTCGTCGAGTTCCACGGCGCGGGCCCGCGCGGAACCCGAATCTTCAACACGACTTCAATGTGCGCGTATGCGAACGTTTCGACGCGAGGTCTTCCGCCGTGCTTCGAGCACCCAATGAGACCAATCGATTCGTCCAAGAATCAGCCGAATCGACGTCGATGTGACCGAGCTCGAGAATTCTCAAGTTTGGTCGGGACGTCCCGAACCAGCGGTTGATTTGCACACAGGCGCGGGCGCCGTCAGCGACGCCACCCTCGTCGCCTACGCATCCTCCACCAAGGGCGCGCTGCGCGTCCACGCGACGCCGGACATGCCCCAAGTCGGGACCTGGGACGCCTGGGTCGACCGCTGGGCGACGCTGGATCCCGCGGACTACGAGCCGGCGCTGTCGGCCGCGGGCGCCGCCGCGCGGCTCGGCGCGGGCTACTTCGACGACGCCGCGAACCGGAGCCTGGAGACGGGCTACGCCTACGACGCCGTCGCCGCCATCGGCATCGCCGTCTGCGCCCTCGACGCCGCGGGGGAGGCGGAGGTGGTTCTCGCGGACGGCGGTCTGTTCACGGACGCGGTCCAGGACGTCGACTTCGTGGGCGTCTCCGGCCGCGTGGCGTTGAAGGGCACGGACCGGCGGCCGAGGTACGCGCCCTACGCCGTGACGAACGTGCGCGCCAACGGCACGGTGGACTACGTGGCCACGGTCCAGAACCACTCGTGGTTCTACAACGACATGGCGCTGCCGCAGTACCCCTTCCGGCAAGTGGTCTACTACGACGGCACGTCGACGATCGTCAACGACACGGAGCCGGACTGCGCGAAGATCGGCTATTTTAACCGCACGACCTACACGTGCGAGCAGTGCGCGCCCGGCTCCGAGCCCGACGGCACGAACCTGTACTGCGAGCCGTGCGCCCCCGGCTACGCGCGCGCGGGCGGCGACGGCGCCTGCGGCGCCTGCGCCGGCGACTTCTCCTACCAGCCCGACGCGGGCGCGGCGGCGTGCCTGTCGTGCCCCGTGGCGACGGTGAAGCTCACGACGAACGCGGGGCTCTCGGCCGACGAGTGCGTGTGCATGAAGGGCTACTACAGCTCCGAGTCGACGTGGAACTCCACGCAGTGGAAGCGCAGCGGCCTCCCGGGCGTCCCCTGCTACTCGTGCCCCGAGGGCGCGACCTGCGACGGCGGCGACGCCATGCCCGTGAACAAGAAGGACTTCTGGGGCACGCCGCGGCAGCCGTTCCGGTTCTACGCAGCGTCCTGTGGCCGTGACGATCTTCGAGAGATTCGGGGTGGGAAAACAACGAGAAATCGTCACCGTCGCGCTCGGTAGGTTCTACGAGTGCGAGTACGGCCACTGCCGGTCGGACTTCCGCTGCGACGCGGGCTACCGGGGGCGCATGTGCTCGGAGCTCATCCACGAGGAGTACTTCACGCTCTCCGTGCTGCCGCCGATGACCTGCCCGGAGTCCGCGGCCGCGCGCGGCGCGCTGGTCGTCTTCGGCTACGCGGTCCTCGTGGGCGTCTGGCTCCACGTCAACTCGGCCTACCTCGCGCGGTACCGCGTGCTGCTCGTCTACATCTACTTCCTGCAGATCATGGCCGTGGTCATGCGCTTCAACTACGAGAACCTGCCGAACCACGCGCCGCCGGTGCAGATCGTGCGCATGCTTCTCGACCTCAGCCTCTTCGACTTTGCTGTTTTTATGCCGACGTGCGTGCTCGAGCTCACGGAGCTCGGCGCCTTCGGGCTCCAGTTCCTCTTCATCTTCTTCGGGTTCGCGTTCCTCTTCCTGCCCGTGCTCCGCGAGATGTTCACAAAGTTCGTCGAGGAGTGGTCCTACCGGAACTGGGAGGCGATCAAGAAGTCGCTGGACTTCTACGAGGGCGACTTCGGCGAGAAGATCTACCGGAGGATCGGCGTCTTCCTGACGCTCCTGGACGTCCAGCGGCCGCTGATGACGTACGTCGCGCTGCAGATGCTCCGGTGCGACCGCTACTACGACGAGAAGACCTATTTTCGGGCGGACCCCATGCTCAAGTGCGAGGCGGACCGGCGGGCCGTGCTCGGCCTCGCCGCGGGCTTCATCTTCGCCGTCTTCTCCGTCGGGCTGCCCCTCGCGTCCTACGTGTGCATCCACTACGAGTACAAGGTGCACCGCGGCGTCCACATGCCCCACATCCAGGCCTTGTACGGCTGGTCCTTCGGCGACTTCCGCGTGCCCTACCACGCGGCGCGCTTCCACAAGCAGTACCTCGTCTGGGCCGTCTGCCTCATCTCCGCGCTCTTCGACGAGATCCTCGTCGAGCTCGTCGCGATCACGGCGTGCATGTACCCGGCGACGGTCATCCACTGCGTCACCCAGCCCTACTCGTCGTCGATCCTGAACAGGGTGGAGACGCTGGGCCTGTCCGTGACCATCGCGGCCGTGCTCCTCGGCTTTCTCGCGTGCCTCGACGACCACACGACGCGGTTCCGCGGGTCCTTCATCTACGGCACGTTCCTCATCCACGCGATCTTCTTCGCCGTCGTCATGCTCTGCGCCTACAAGGAGAGCGAGGAGCTGAAGATCGAGGCCGCGACGGCCGCGTCGCTCCACGAGAAGATCTGCGAGCTCTTCGCCAAGGACGACGCCGCGAACGAAAAGCGGAAGCTCGAGATCGCCCGCCGGCGCCACGAGGTCCAGCCCCCGAAGACGGGCTGCTGCGGCGCCGCGGCCAAGGCCCTCGGGCGCGTGGCCCGCGGGCGCGCGAGCCTCGTCGAGGTCCTCGCCGGCGACGACCTCGACGACCTGCCGTACCGGACGCAGCAGGGCATCGAGGCCATGCAGGAGGTGCTCCGGACGTTCAACACGACGGTCTTCCAGATGACCATCGACTCCGTGGAGCGCACGAACGAGGACCTCGAGAAGTTCGTCCCTGCGTCCTGTGGCCGTGACGATTTTCGAGAGATTTTGGGTGGGAAAATAATGAGAAACCGTCACCGTCATGCTTGGTAGGTTTGTCCGCGTCGCCGAGGACATGCGGTTCCTCGTCTCCGACGTGTCGTTCACGTCGAGCTACAGCGCGGACCCCATCTCCCACTTCTGGCGCAACCTCAGCAGCCAGAACAAGGGCATCATCGACTTCGTCGCGAAGCTCAAGGAGGCGGAGCGCATCGTGTTTTTTGGCGTGCTCGTGCGGCTCCAGCGCTACCTCGCGGACCCCGCGCCGTCGAACTCGGCGATGCACGACCTCGTGCAGGACGAGGACCGGTCGTCCGTGCTCTACTACCTCCTCGGCGCCAAGGAGGCGCGCTTCGAGGACTGCGTCGCGCTGCTCCGGGACCTCGTGGGCGCGTGCGCCAGCCACCACCACACGTGGTTCGACGAGCTCGTCTTCCTGCCAAAGTCCGTGCACCACGTCGACCGGTCCAAGGTCCTCGCGAAGCGCCGCGCGTCCATCTCCCTCGACGACGTCGCGGGCGACGAGAAGAAGCTCATCGCCAAGTTCCGGGCCTCGGAGAACCGCGCCTGCGCGGAGGCGCAGCACATCTGCGCCGCGCGCGACGAGCCCCCGGCGCCCGCGACGCCCGAGAAGAAGAAGAAGAAGGAGCCGGCGCCCCGCGAGGCGACGCCGCCCCCCGAGGCGCCCGAGCCGGAGCCGGAGCCGGAGGCCAAGGAGGAGGCCAAGGAGGAGGAGGCGCCGCCGACGCCGGAGCCCCAGAGCTCGTGGCTCTTCGGCGACGACGCGGGCGCGACGCGCGACAGCCAGCCGTCGGCCGCGCTCCTCGAGGCCGCCAAGGCCCAGGAGAGCGCCCTCGACGACGGCGACGCCGTCGAGGACGCGGGGGACGCGCCGTCGTCCGCGCTCTGCGGCGCCATGTTCGCCGGCGGCGACGACGCGCCGCCGCCGCGCCTCCCGGGCAAGAAGACGCCGAAGCGGCCCCGGGGGCGGAGCCGCGGGCGGGCGCGGTAGGGTCGGCTAAGTCCCCTCAGTTATCGTGCCGCGCGAGGTTGAACTCGAGCTGGTTGACGATGGGCGTGAACAGGGCCGCGAGCTTCGCGTGCGCGGGCGTGTCGCGGTAGGACCGCCGCTTCGCGTCGAGCGCGGCCTTCATGGACCGGAGCTTGTCGAGGACGCGGCCCTTCTTCGCGTCGAGCGCCGCGCGCTCCGCGGGCGTCGCGGGCGCCTCCGCGGCGTAGGCCCGGAGGTAGCGGAGGAGCGCGTGGACGCGGCTCGTCGCGCGCTCGACGTCGGCCTTCGTCGACGGCGGCGGCGGGTCGCCGTCGTCCGGCTTGCGCGACGCGCGGTCGAGGACGGCCAGCGCGCGCCGCGCGGGCTCCTCGGACGCGTCGAGCGCGCCGAGCACGTCGACGGACTCGACGGTCCACGCGACGTCGTCGGGCTCCGCGCAGAAGAGCTTCGGCTTCTTGCGCGCGGGGGGCTTCGCGGCCCGGCCGCCCTTGGCGCGGTGCGCGAGGTCGAGCGCCGCGACGGACGGCGGCGGCCGGTCGACGAGCGCGTCGTCGACGTCGTCGTCGTCGACGGCCAGGGGGCCCGGCTCGCTCGCGCCCTCCGCGGCCGCGAGGACGCGGTCGCCGTGGGCGTTGAACTTCCTGAGCACGAGCTCCGCCGTCGGCGCGACGGCGTCGTCCGTCGGCGGCGGCCGCGCGAAGGCCGGGTCGTCCGGCGGCTCCGGGACCGCGCGGTCGTGCGCCGTCCGCGTGAGGTCGACGGCGGGCCGCGCGGGCCGCGGCTCCCGCCGAGCGCCGCCGCCGGCCTCCTCGAAGCGCGCGAAGAGGTCGTCGGTGACCTACGGAGCGAGTCTCTCTCGACGGCGCGCGACCCTCCCTTCAGAGTCGAAGCGACGCGCCCCGCTCTCTCGAGCCCCCGTGCCGCGCCGCAAGCCGCGGCGTCGTCGGGCGTCGCGTCGTTGACGGCCGCGCCCTTGTCGCGCCAGAAGTAGCGGCTCTGGAAATATTTCACCCAGAACTGCTCCTCGGACATGTCGTTGGGCACGTGGGCCGCGTGCGCGCGCCGGACCGCCGGGTAGGCGTCGAAGAGGAAGTCGATCTTCTCGCGGGACAGGGCGAAGCTCAGCTCCTTTCGGCTCCGCGAACTCGGCGGGCCGCCGCCTGACGGCGCGTCGACGAGCAGCTCGTTCGACGGCGCGGCCTTGACCGCGTGCGCGGGCGTCGCGAGGGGGGGGCGCGCGGCCCAGAAGTCGGCCTCGCAGACGACGCCGCCGCCGACGAGCTCGCGGTGCTCCGCGCGCAGCGCGCCGTCCCGGGCCAGCGCGTCGGCCCGCAGCGCGTTTTCCGCGGCCTTGGTCCGCGCCTCCGGCGTCGTCCGCCGCACGCGCTTGAGGACCGTGGCGATGGTCACCTTGGCGTCGCAGAGCACGTCCCAGGCGCGGTCCTTGGACGCCTCGAGCACCGTGAGCACGACGGGCTTCTTATCCGGGACCGTCAGCTTGAGCATGCACTTGGCGTGCGCCTTCGGCGACGTCTCGTGCTTCGCCAGGTCGGCGAAGGCCACGGACACGCTCGCGCCGTCGGGGCCGCGCCAGTCGACGCCGCGCGCCGTGACGTCGACGTAGCCGTCCTGCTTCTTGTAGGCGCCGCGGAAGCGGAAGAGCAGGTCGTCGGGCTCCGGCGGGGGGGGCATGGCGCTTGTTTGTGTTTGCGCTCGTTTGTCGGTGTGTTTGTGTTATCGATGCGCGCTCGCTGGCGGCGCGCAGAGAGAGTGGCGCGCTCACGCGCGCTCGCACTCGCTCGAGCTAATAAGAGCACATCGGCGCCGGCGGGCTTTGGGCCGATGTTGAGAGGCACGCTCGACGGCAACGTTCCTCGCGCGCGCGTCGGCGAAGTCTCCTCAGTCTCCGAGCGCGAATATCTAGCGGCCGTTGACATAGGACCTCAGCCCGATGCTTGGGCGCGGGGCGGCGGCCGCTCTAGACGCGGCGGCCGTGCTGGTAGGCCAGCATCATGCCAGTGATGCCGGCGGTGGACGCGCCGAGGAGGCCGATGCCCTGGCCGAGCCAGTAGACGCGGTTCCACGAGAGGTAGGGGGAGTGGGTGCTGTGCCAGACGCACATGGAGCCGCCGATGCCGATGGCGAAGGTGTCGAGGAAGCTGAAGGGGAAGGCGAAGGCGGCGGCGGCGGGCTCCGAGTCCGGGGCCTTGGTGAAGCCCCGACCGGACAAGGAGAGGCGGAGCAAACGAGGCTACGTAAAACGACCTTCACCTCACTGGGAGGGCGGGCGTGTGCGGCGGCGTGTTGGTGAGAGAGCCTGAGGCCGGTGACAGTGCAGTGGCGCCGCGGCATCCGGAGTCCGAACTCGAACTTGTAGCCCGCCCCACCGTGACCTTGTCTCGCCCCCCGCACCTCAGTTCCTTCTCTACCACCCCCGACTAGAGTACAACCCCCACGAGCCGGTATTCGTAAGGTATTCGCGATAGGGGGACGCTGACAAAGTTGTATTCAACTAAATGCTTGATGCTAAAATTGCCCTTATCTCTGACGTCTGCCTTCAGCACATCCACCGCGGCATATTAGGCGTCGGGCGCGGCTTCGCGATGACAACACTGCGCATCTCCCTCAACCACCCCAGACATCAGTGAACCATCATGGCGCCGGACCCTCCCGAGGACGAGTGGGGCCACTGGGAGAACGAGTCGGATTCCGACAGCGAGAACAGCGGCTTCGAGTCGTCGGGTTCCGACACGCAGAACGACGCGTCCATGGGCGCGCGGTCGTCCACCACGGCGTCGACGTCGTCGACGGCGGGCCTCGCGGAGCTCAACTCGTGGATGCACGACTCCTGCGAGCTCGGCGTCGCCGCGTGGATGCGGGCGGGCGAGGCGAACTCGAGCGGCCGGCGCCGGTGCTACTTCACGACCGGCGGCGACTTCCGGAGCGGCTCGGACGCGTCGTCAAAGTCCGGGAAGTCGTCGAGCGGCAGCGACGGCGAGTCGAGCGGCAGTGACCGGTCCCGGCGGCCGCCGGTCGCGGGGAGCGCCGCGAGCCGGCGGCCCGGGCGGCGGCGGCCGGGCCGGCAGATGCCGCAGCAGCTCTGGTGCGTGACGCCCTTCGAGCGGCGCCAGGTGGACCGGTGGCACCTGCTGGAGACGGCGCTGACGCCGCGCCTCTGCCCGCGCGTCTTCAGCCGCCAGTTCCTCGGGCGGCCGCAAACCGCCGGAGTCGTCGTCGGCGTGTCGCTCGGGTCCGTCCGCGTCGTCCAGCACAAGCTCACGGGCTTCCGGCACGTCGAGTTCCTGCTGATGGTGTCCGTGGGCGACCGGTGCCGCCGCGCCTGGCGGTCCCACGGCCACTTCGCGCGCCACGCGCGCCGGTCCTACGGCGCCTGGGCCGCGCCGTGCAAGGCGGCGTGGTGCGTCGCAGAGTCCGAGCGGCGCTGGCGCAACCACGTCGACGACTACCCCTACATCGCCGCGCGCCACGCGGCCTACGAGGCGCTGCTGCGCGAGGTGCTCTTCCACGCGGACTCGGCCGACGAGGTCCTGGAGTTGAGCGGCGCGAGCCCCGGCGAGGGGCCCCTGGGCGCCCCGGAGGAGGCCGTGCTCTTCGGCGTCGAGGTGCCGCCGGCGGAGGCCGCGGCGCCCTGCGCCTGCCGGCCGCCGACGCCGACGCTCGCGGCGCGCGCGCTCGAGCTCGTCCGGCCGGCGCGCCGCGAGCCGACGGCGACGCGCGTGGTCGCGGCGTCGCCCGCGCCGAAGCGGCCGTCCTACGCCTGCCTGCCGCCGGGCCTCGGCTCGGCCTGCCTCCTCTGCGACGGCGAGGGCGACGACGGCGGCCGCGACGTCGCCTACCGGTCCCGGTCCTCGGAGACGGTCGGCGCGGAGCGCGCGAAGCCGCCGCTCGCGCTCGCGCTCGGCGAGGCCAACGGCCGGCGGTCCGAGGCGCACCCGCTCTTCACGAAGCTCGGCAAGGCCGTCCCCTTTGCCGTGAACGCCGTCGCGCGAGCGATAGCGTAACGGCCCTGGAACCAGCTCGGCGGCCCCGACACGGGTCGCACTGACTCGCAGGCGTCCGAGTCGAGGAGCTTGTCGACGTCGCCCGGCCGCGGCGCGGCTCCGCAGTCCGTTCGCGGGTAGGAATTCCTACTGCACGCCAAGGTCGACCCGGGCGTCGATAGAGTCCTCCTCGATGAGGCGTTCGATGGGGCTTCGGGGGTTTAGGGGGTCTCTCTACTGGTGCTGCTTCCGCATGAGGGCGAGCTCCTCGGGCGTGAGGTCGACTTCTTCGCAGACGAGGCTGTCGTCGGAGTCGGAGTCGCCCGCCGCGGCCGCGGCCGGCGCGGCGCGGCGCAGCGTCTCCAGCTCCTGCGCGGACAGGTACACCTCCTCGCACTCGAGGTCCGAGTCGTCGTCGTCGTCGTCCGCCGGCGCGGCCGCCGGGGGAGCGTGCGAAGCGGACGTCTTGCGGAGCTTCTCGAGCTCCTGCGCGGACAAATCGACCTCCTCGCACTCGATGTCCGAGTCGTTGTCGTCGTCCGCCGGCGGCGCGGCCGGCGCGGGCGCCGGGGGAGCGTACGAAGCGGACGTCTTGCGGAGCTTCTCGAGCTCCTGCGCCGACAAATCGACCTCCTCGCACTCGAGGTCCGAGTCGGAGTCGTCCGCCGGCGCGGCCGGCGCGACCGGCGGCGCGGCCGCCGGGGGAGCGTGCGAAGCGGACGTCTTGCGGAGCTTCTCGAGCTCCCGCGCGGACAGGTCCACCTCCTCGCACTCGAGGTCCGAGTCGGAGTCGTCCGCCGGCGGCGCGGCCGGCGCGGCCGCCGGGGGAGCGTGCGAAGCGGACGTCTTGCGGAGCTTCTCGAGCTCCTGCGCGGACAGGTCCACCTCCTCGCACTCGAGGTCCGAGTCGGAGTCGGAGTCCGCCGGAGCGGCCGCCGGCGCCGACGCGGCCGCGGGGACGCTGGCGCCATTGCGCAGATTCTCCAGCTCCGCCGGCGACAGCTCGACCTCCTCGCAGGCGAGATCGGAGTCGGAGTCCTCCTCCGCCGGAGCGGCGGACTCGCCCTTGCGCAGGCGCTCGAGCTCCGCCGGCGACAGCGAGACCTCCTCGCAGGCGAGATCGGAGTCGGAGTCCTCCTCCGCCGGAGCGGCGGACTCGCCCTTGCGCAGGCGCTCGAGCTCCGCCGGCGACAGCGACACCTCCTCGCAGGCGAGATCGGAGTCGGAGTCCTCCTCTGCCGGAGCGGCGGACTCGCCCTTGCGCAGGCGCTCGAGCTCCGCCGGCGACAGCGAGACCTCCTCGCACATGAGGTCGTCATCAGACTCCTCGTCGTCCACCGCCGCGCCGGTCGTGCGCAGGCGCTCGAGCTCCGCGGGCGACAGCGAGATTTCCTCGCACATGAGATCTTCGTCCGAATCCTCGTCCGCTGCGGCGCCGGTCGTGCGCAGGCGCTCGAGCTCCGCGGGCGACAGCGAGACCTCCTCGCACATCAGATCGTCGTCGGACTCCTCGTCGTCCGCCGGAGCGCCACCGCTGCGCAGGCGCTCGAGCTCCACGGGCGACAGCGAGACCTCCTCGCACATCAGATCGTCGTCGGACTCCTCGTCGTCCGCCGGAGCGCCACCGCTGCGCAGGCGCTCGAGCTCCGCGGGCGACAGCGAGACCTCCTCGCACATCAGATCGTCGTCGGACTCCTCGTCGTCCGCCGGAGCGCCACCGCTGCGCAGGCGCTCGAGCTCCGCGGGCGACAGCGAGACCTCCTCGCACATCAGATCGTCGTCGGACTCCTCGTCGTCCGCCGGAGCGCCACCGCTGCGCAGGCGCTCGAGCTCCGCGGGCGACAGCGAGACCTCCTCGCACATCAGATCGTCGTCGGACTCCTCGTCGTCCGCCGGAGCGCCACCGCTGCGCAGGCGCTCGAGCTCCACGGGCGACAGCGAGACCTCCTCGCACATCAGATCGTCGTCGGACTCCTCGTCGTCCGCCGGAGCGCCACCGCTGCGCAGGCGCTCGAGCTCCGCGGGCGACAGCGAGACCTCCTCGCACATCAGATCGTCGTCGGACTCCTCGTCGTCCGCCGGAGCGCCACCGCTGCGCAGGCGCTCGAGCTCCGCGGGCGACAGCGAGACCTCCTCGCACATCAGATCGTCGTCGGACTCCTCGTCGTCCGCCGGAGCGCCACCGCTGCGCAGGCGCTCGAGCTCCGCGGGCGACAGCGAGACCTCCTCGCACATCAAATCGTCGTCAGACTCCTCGTCATCCGCCGGCGCGCCGCCCTTGCGCAGGCGCTCGAGCTCCGCCGGCGACAGCGACACCTCCTCGCAGAGCAGGTCGTCGTCGGACTCCTCGTCCGCCGCGGCGCCGCCCTTGCGGAGGCGCTCGAGCTCGGCCGGCGACAGGGCCACCTCCTCGCAGACGAGGTCGTCGTCGTCGTCGTCGTCGTCGGCCGGCGCGGCGCCGGCGCCGGCGAAGGCGCCCAGCGCCGCCGCGCTCACCTCCTCGATGCCGAGGTCGTCGTCGTCGTCGTCGTCGTCGTCGGACTCGGCGTCGGCCTCGTGCGCGGCGAGCGTCTTCTTCCGCTTGATTTTGTCGAGCTCCTGGGGCGTCAGCGCCGTCGCCACGGCGTCGACGTCGCCGTCGTCGTCGCTCTCGTAGGCCGCGGCGGGCTCCGCCTTGGCCTTGGCCGCGCGGAGCCGCTCGAGCTCCTCGCGCGACAGCGACACCTCCTCCATGACGAGGTCGTCGTCGTCGCTGTCCTCGTCCGCCGCGGGCGCCGGCGCGCCGGCGCCGCCCGTGCGCAGGCGCGCGAGCTCCGCCTCGGAGACGTCGACCTCCTCGCAGACGAGGTCGTCGTCGTCGCTGTCGTCGACGGCCGGCGCCGCGCCGGTCCGGAGCCGCGCGAGCTCCGCCTCGGAGATGTCGACCTCCTCGCAGACGAGGTCGTCGGAGTCGTCGTCGGAGCCGCCGCCGCCGACGGCGACGCCGGACCCGGCGAGCCTCGCGAGCTCGTCCGCCGGCAGGTCGACCTCCTCGCAGACGAGGTCGTCGGACGAGTCCGAGTCGTTGCCGTCGCGGTCCGCGGCCATGGCCTTGCCCCGCGTCAGCGCCGCGCGCACCTTGGGGTCGGGCGCGATCTCCTCGACGGCGACGAGGTCGTCGTCGTCGTCGTCGTCGTCGTCGTCCGGCGCGCCCTCGACCATGACGCAGCTCGACAGCGAGTCGTCGGACGACGGCGCCGCCTCCGCCGCCGCCGGCGCGCGCGCCGACGCGAGGCGCCGCAGGGCCTCGGGGTCCTTCGACTCCTCGAAGGCGAGCTCGTCGTCGTCGTCGTCGTCGTCGTCGAAGGCCTCGGGGCCCTCGCCGCCCATGAGCCGGTGCAGCTTCCGGCTCGCGACGTGGAGCTCCACGAGCTTGTCGCGGGCGCCGGCGCTCTGGAACTGGAGCGGCTGGGCCTCGATCTCGGCGATGGCCGCGGCGACGGCGTCCCGGGCCTTGGCGAAGACGCCCTCGGCCTTGCGCCGCGCCTCGGCGCCCTTGGTCTGGCCCTCCTTGACCGACTTGCCCCAGGCCTCGAAGAAGCCCATGGTCGTGGCGGCGGGGCGGAGCGGGAGCGGGGACCTCGAGACGTGGAGATGCTCCGCGCGGGACCCCCACTTGTGGACGTCGGAGGGGCTGCAGGCGGTCGGAGAGCGCGGGTGCTTGAACAGCTCCGTTCAAGGTGAACCAAAGGCTATGGTGCTTGCAATGCGTGGATCGCAGGCGGCCGGTGCGCGGGGTTGTTGCGGGACCTCGCGCGCGACTGCATGGCGCTCGGCGGCGGCGAGGTTCGCCCTCCTCCACGCGCTGCTGCTCGCCGCCGGCGCGTCCGGCTTGCAGATGCCGCGGGCCCCGTCGACGCGCCTCGGCGCGCTGCGCGAGCAGAAGAAGGACTTCGTGGAGAACCTCTTTGGGATGATCTTCGGCGAGATCGAGGACGCGCCGGCGGGCTTCACGCGCATGACGGTGGAGACGCAGCCGGACCAGTACCCCGCGGAGACGAGCGGCGACCGCGCCGCCGCCGTCGACGGCGACGACGCGGACCTCGCGCGCTGGGTGCGGCCGACGCTGCTGCAGACGCAGCTCGCGCGGCTGCCCATGTACGAGGTCTACGACAGCGACCTCGACGGCTGGACGCCCGGCGCGTTCCACGCGGCCGTGGACCGGCGGGGCCCGGGCGTCGTGCTCTGCGAGGCCGAGGACGGGCAGCGCTTCGGCGGCTACAACGCCAAGGGCTGGGTCGGCTACGGCGAGTACCGGCCGGGCCTCAGCAACTTCCTCTTCGCCTGGAACAAGGCGGGCGAAAACTTCGTCAAGCTGCCCAAGGTCGGCGGCGCGGGCATGGGCGTCGTCGACAAGCCGGAGCAGGGGCCCATGTTCGGCGCCGAGGGTTTGTGCGTCCCCATGCGCGCGGAGAACCCGCGCCTCGCGCGGTGCAAGCTCGGGCCCTACTACGCGCGCATGAAGGGCGGCCGCGGGTCCATGCTCCGCGACGGCGAGCCGGGGAGCATGGTCAAGCGGATGACCGTGTACGTGGGCAACTGGGGCGCCGAGTCCATCCCCTTCGACGACGCCATCCCCTTCTCCCTCACCTAAGAATTACGTGATCGCCGCGAGCCAGGCGGACGTGCCGTTGGTCGGTGCGACGCGCCGCCAGTCGCCCCGGAGGAGCCAGGCGCCGGCGCCGGCGAGCGCGGCCTTCTTCGACGCGGCCTCCTTCTCCGTGTAGCAGTGCTTCACGACGACGGCCGGGCCCTTTGGCGGGTCGTCGGGGCAGCGGCGCTGGAAGAGGGCGTGGGGGAGGAGCGCCACGCGCAGGCCGCCCGCGTCGCCCGTCGCGAGGAGCGCCGAGCCCTCGTACTTCAGCGGCGGCGCGCGCGGCGCGACGCCGGACTCGCGGGCCCAGGCGACGCCCGCGCGCTTGAGGACGGCGTTGACGGCCTTCTGGTCGTCGCCCAGGGCCCGGGTCTGGTGCAGCAGGGACCGCGCGAAGTCCAGCGTCTTCGGGCCGGCGTTGAAGCGGACGAGGCCCATGCACGCCGTCGCGCCCCAGGCCTCGGACGCCCAGCCCGGGAAGCTCCCGCGGCTCGCGACGACGTCGCCCTTGTCCCTACCGAGCCAGGGCGCCGCGTCGCCCAGGAAGACGGCGTCGGCGTCCGCGAGCGTCACGGAGAAGCCCGCCTCGAGGAGCGAGACGAGCATCTGGACGCGCGTCGTCCAGATGTGCGCGTGGACCTTGGCCCACTTGGACCGGCCGACGGTGGGCGCGCAGGCCGCGCCGCGGTCCGCGAGCCAGGCGCCGAGCTCGCCGTCGAGGCAGGCGACGACCCAGTTCCGCCGGCCGGACCGCTCGTACGCGGCGAGGAAGTTGGCGACGACTTCGTGGTACGCGAAGCCGGCCGTGAGCAGCGTCACGGCGTTCGACGCGTCGGCGGCGGCGCGCGCGAGCCGCAGGAGGACCTCGCGGCCGTCGAGCTCGCTCGCGGACACGGACGGCGCGCCGCGGCCGCGCCGCGTCGCGTAGCGCACCGTCGCGTCGCGCTTCGGCGCGCGCTGGGCGCCGCCGCGCCGGCCGAAGCTCTCGAGGGGCCGGTGCCGGAGCGCGGAGCCGGCCTCGCGCGGATCGGGCTTCGTCGTTGCCGCGGCGGCGGCCACGACCAGCGCCGCGAGGCCGACGACGGCCACCATCGACGCTGCCCCTGGAGGGCAACTCCACGACCTCGCAAACGTTGCTGGCGCTCGTCGACGCTTCAAGGCAATGGTCGCGTCAATGGCAGTCGCCGCTGCCATGCTGGCGTGCGCGCAGGCCTTCCGCGCGCCCCGCGCGCCGGCGGGCCGCGCCCCGGCGCTCCGCGTGGCGTCGGCCATGGAGCAGCAGCAGGCGCTGACCCTCGGCGCGCCGCGGTTCTGCCCGCCGAACGGCACCTACGTGACCGCGGGCGGCGTCGGGGTGACGCGCACGTCCCAGGTGCTCCCGCGCGAGATCGTCGACGAGACGGTGGAGGCGCTCGTCGACGACCTCGACGAGCGGCGGGGCGTGCTCCTCGCGAGCTCCTACGAGTTCCCGGGCCGCTACGCGCGGTGGACCGTCGGCTTCTCCGACCCGCCCGTCGTCCTCAGCGGGCGGTCGCGGGACTTCGCGCTCACGGCCCTCAACGCGCGCGGCGTCGTCATGCTCGCCATGTTCGAGGACGCCCTGCGCGGGGCCTCCGCGGTCGCGGCGCTCGACGCCGTCCGCGGCGCCGACGGCGACCTGGCGCGGCTCGTGGGCCGCGTCGCGGAGCCGAGCGGCGCCGTCATGGCCGAGGAGGACCGGAGCAAGGAGCCGAGCCTGCTGAGCGTCGTGCGCTGCATCTCGTCCCTGCTCTACCACCCGGACGAGCCGCAGCTCGGCCTCTACCAGGGCAGCACAAGCGAGCGAAATTCCCAACTTCAAAGGCTCATATCTCGGCCGTTTTCCACTCGTTTCGGCTGATTTTTGGACGAGCGATCGTCTCTCGGAACGGTCTCGAAGCGTTGATGCTTTTTTTGGAACGCGCGCGCGCGGAACACTCACGTTGAAGCGACGTTGAATCACCCTTTTGCTGCCCAGGCCTCTACGGCGCGCTCGGCTACGATCTCATGTTCCAGTTCGAGCCCATCGAGCCGACGCTGGAGCGCAACGCGGCGCAGCGCGACGTCGTGCTCTACGTGCCCGACGAGATCCTCGTCGTGGACCGGCGGGAGAACGCCGCGTGGCGGGTCAACTACGACTTCTCGTGGACCGTGGCCGGAGCGACGAATATCCTGGAAACCAAAGACCTGCCGCGCGGCGGCGAAGCGAAGCCCTACGGGTCCGGCACGCCGGCGCAGGACCGGGACGTCGAGCCGGGCGGCTTCGCGAAATTGACGGAGCGGGCCAAGGAGGAGTTCAAGTGCGGCAACCTGTTCGAGGTCGTGCTCTCGCAAAAGTGGGCCGTCAAATCGCCCGCGCCGCCGTCGTCGCTCTTCCGGTCCCTGCGGGAGCGGAACCCGTCGCCCTACGGGTTCCTCATGAACCTGCGGGGCGAGGACGCCGGCGACGCGCCGGCCTGGCTCCGGGGCTACGCCAAGGGCGAGTATTTGGTGGGCGCGTCGCCCGAGATGTTCGTGCGCGTGGAGCGCGTCGACGGCCGGCTCCGCGTGGAGACCTGCCCCATCTCCGGCACCATCGAGCGCGGCGCCGACGCGCTGGAGGACGCGCTCCAGGTGCGGGCGCTTCTCGGGTCGAAGAAGGACGAATCCGAGCTCACGATGTGCACCGACGTCGACCGGAACGACAAGAGCCGCATCTGCGAGCAGGGCAGCGTGGAGGTCATCGGCCGGCGCCAGATCGAGATGTACTCGAAGCTCATCCACACGGTGGACCACGTCGAGGGCTACCTGCGGGAGGGCTTCGACGCGCTCGACGCGTTCCTCTGCCACACGTGGGCGGTCACGGTCACGGGCGCGCCCAAGGCCTGGGCCGCGCGCTTCATCGAGACGCACGAGCGGTCCGCGCGGGCCTGGTACGGCGGCGCCGTCGGCCACGTGGCCTTCGACGGGTCGCTGAACACGGGGCTCACGCTGCGGACGATCCACATCGCCGACGGCGTCGCGTCGGTCCGCGCGGGCGCGACGCTGCTCTACGACTCCGACGCCGACGCCGAGGAGGCGGAGACGGAGCTCAAGGCGTCGGCGATGATCAACGTGCTCCGCGACGCCGGCGCGACGGGCGCGTCGGGCGAGGCCTACAAGCCGCCGCCGGCCGTCGCCGCGCTCGGCGACGGCGACGCGTTCGACGCGACGACGGCCGGCGCGGGCAAGCGCGTGCTCCTCGTGGACCACGAGGACTCCTTCGTCCACACGCTGGCCAACTACCTGCGCCAGACGGGCGCGGACGTCCAGGTGAGCCGCTTCGGCGCGGCGGCGCTCGCGGCGATCGACGGCGCGGCGTGGGACCTCGTCGTGCTGAGCCCGGGGCCCGGCCGGCCCTCGGACTTCGACCTCTCGAAGACGCTCGACGCCTGCGCGGCGACGGCGACGCCCGTCTTCGGCGTCTGCCTCGGGCTCCAGGGCATCGTCGAGCACTTCGGGGGGACGCTCGGCACGCTGCCCGTGCCCGTGCACGGCAAGCCGGCGCAGGTGTTGTCCAGCGGCGGCCGGTGGAAGTCCTTCGACGGCCTGCCGCCCCAGTTCGACGTCGCGCGCTACCACTCGCTCTACGCGGACGACGTGCCGCCGGAGCTCCGAGTCACGGCGACGACGGACCAGGGCGACCGCATCGTCGTCATGGCCATCGAGCACGCGGACCTCCCCATCACCGCCGTCCAGTTCCACCCGGAGTCGATCCTCACGAACCCGAGGCACGGCCTCCGCATGCTCGCCAACTGCCTCAGGCACCTCGCCTACGACGAGGGCGACGCCGCGCGCGCCGCGGCCAGCGAGGACGTCGCCATGGCGCTCGACTAGCCGCGCGGCGCGGGGGGCTCCCTAAGGCCCGCTCCTCGGCGAGTTGCGACGTAGGGGCACGTTGGCTTGACGCGTCTCTAAACGTAAGGGGGAACCGCGGGAGTGCTCGGAAGCGGGAGAGCTCGGCCGTTGGCACTTGAGAGAGGGGTGGGCCGGTCCGATCTCCCTCGCGATGAGAGGGGCGGCACGGGATGGGGCTCAGAGGAGCGACGCGAGGAGGAGCGCGGCCGCGGCCAGGAACGCGGGCGCGCGCGTCGCCGGGGCCGCGTCGAGGAAGCCGTCGGGGCAGCACGTGTAGGAGCAACTGGTTCCATCTTCGCCGGTCGGGATCGCGGGGTAAGGACTGAGGCCGTAGTCGCACGTGGCCGTCTCGCCCCACTCGGTCCCCGCGCAGCAGTCCTCGCCCCAGTCGCGGCACGCGTCGGGGTTGCAGGACGGGGCCGGGCAGTAATCGAAGCCCTCCCAGGAGTACCAATCCTCGTCGTCGCACTCCTCGTCTGCGCCTTCCCAGAACGCGTCGTCGTCGTAGTCGGGGTAGTCCGCGAAGTCGATGGACGTCGCCACGGTCTGCTGGGACTTTTCCGCGCGGCCTTCCATGAAGTAGAACGTCGACGAGGCCTCGTCGATCAAGAGCTCGCAGGCCATGTCGTTGAAGACGTCCGGGTCCTCGAGGCCGCCGAGGCCCCAGGCGCCCATGCCCTTCATGGACATGGCGAAGTCGAGGTCGAGGCCGTCGAGCCAGACGTCGCCGTCGGCGACGATGGTCGCGTCGACCGCGAGGACGAGGCCCGCGCCGTAGGCCCAGCTCAGCGCGCCGTCGACGGTCACGGGCGTGTCGTTGAGGTCCAGATCGAGGGAAATCGTCGACAGGGTCACGCTCGCGGCGTCGCTCGCGTCGCCGGCGAGGGCGAAGGCGACGGTCGCCCCGGACCACTCCCACGTGCCGTCGACGTCGACCGCGAGCGCGTGCGACGCCGCGGCCCAGTCCGTCACGTCGTGGTCCCACTCGAAGGACGCGGCGTAGCTCTCGTCGTCCCAGGCGAGGGTCCAGGACCCGGTCACGTCCGCGACGTCCGGGCCGAGCGGGCCCGCGTGGCCCAGCGTCGAGGTGACGGTGGTGTCGTCGACGTCGAGCGTCAGCGACCATGCTGCTATCGGTCGGGCAGCCCCTGGAGCCAGGCCCAGAGCTCGAGGTCCGGTGCGTTCTCGCGGCGGAGGCCCTCGATCGCGGCGGCCTGGGCGTAGACGCCGGCGACGAGGGCCGCGCGTTTCTCCGCGAGCGGCGCGTCGGCGGGCCCGACGGCGTGCTGGTGGCCCTCGGGGGACCAGGGCTCGAGGGCGCCGTAGTCGAGGCGCGCGCAGGGCGGCGCGCCGTCGAGGCAGGCGCCGCGCGACGCGTTCGGCGCCGCCGCGCGGAAGCCGCCGCCGGTTTCCCGGACGAGGAGCACGCAGTCGAAGAGCCGCGCGACGGCGGCCTTCGCGCGGCCGACGTGGCACGCGGTCAGCGGGGCCGTCCGCGCGTCGCCGCAGGCCGCGGCCGCTGCGGCGTCGCCCGCGAGGAGCGTCTTCACGTAGTAGTTGGCGATGTAGAGCCGGTCGCAGACGCGGTTGCCGCCCGGCGGGCCCCACGGCGCGCGCCGCCACCGCTCGCAGTCGCGGACGCCCTCGAGGCTCTGCATCGTGGCGATGGGCACGTCGAAGGCCTCCGCCTGGCGCGACCGCGAGGCCTCGAGCCAGCGCGGGAAGCCACCCGCGTCGACGCTCGCGAGGCGCGCGACGCACGGCGCGAGGCCCGCGGCCTCGCGTGGCACGCGGGCGCCGCGCCCTCGAAGACGTAGGCGGAGACCGCGCGCGCCACGGGCTCGCGGAAGGACGAGAGGCGGAACGCGTTTTTGGCCTACCGAGGGCGACAGGGTCGGGCTTCTTCTCGTGCCCCGGCGCGAACACACGCGCCCGTCACTCGACGCCGTTCCGGGCCCGCGGCGTGTCCGGCGAGAACCACTCGACGGTGTCGTAGGCGCGGCACCGCCGCTTGAGGTGCGCGTGGAGCGTCGTGCCGCCCGCCTTGCGCATGTGGTAGAGGAAGACCTTGTCGGCCCCGGGCCGGTCGCGCGGCCGGCGGTCGACGCCGGGGTCGCAGGCGCGCGCCGCCCAGCACTTGCCCGACTCCGTGTGGCACTTGCGGTCCGACGCGTCGCAGTAGTAGCCGCGGTACGACGGCGCGAGGGGCTCGCGCGGGAGCGGCGCGCGCGCGTCCCGGGGCCGCGGCTCGCTCGGCGATCGAGGCTCGCTCGGCGCCCGCGGCTTTCTCGGCGGGTCCCGGCTCCGCGGCTCCCTCGGCGCCCGCGGCGCCCGCGGCTCCCTCGGCGACGCCGCGGCGTCGACGCGCGTCTTCGGTTTCGGGGGCGCGCGCGGCGCCGCGGGCGCCAGCTTCGGCGGCGCGGGCGCCCGGGCGCCGGCGTCGCGCACGGCGATGGCGACGCCGCCCTCCTTGGCCGCGCAGGTCTTGCGGTGCACGTGCTCCGGCAAGCCGCCGACGCGCTCGAGGTAGCGCTCGTTCGCGTGGGGCGAGAAGAGCGTCTCGAGGACGTCCTGCTCGCCGTTCGTGTAGGTCATGAAATCGCCGAGGGCCGCCTTGTCGCGGAGCACCTCGAAGATGAGCAGGTCGGGCCGGAGCCACACCTGGGCAGGTAACAGGTGCGAACTTCCCAACTCCAAAGGCTCCTCTCTCGGCCGTTTCCCGCTCGTTTCGGCTGATTCGTGGACGAGCGATCATCTCTCGGAGCGCTCTCGAAGTATATGTTGAAACGCGCGCGCGCGGCACACCCACGTTGAAGCGACGTCGAATCACCCTCGTGGGGCCCCGAGCCGCGCCATGTGGCTGTTCAGTCCGAGGTACGAGACGCCGCGGCGCCGCTCGTTGGACGCGAGGAACGCGACGCCCGCGTCGCAGGCCCTATGGAGGAAGGGCGCCAGGGGCGATAGGGGGCACACGTCCGAGTCGAGGAGCAGCACGCCGTCGTAGGCCGTGAAGCGCCAGGCGAAGATCTTCATGGACGTGCACTGGCCGTCGCTCCGCTCCTGCATGCGCTCAAGTTCCAGAACGTGTCGCGGTAGGCGTCCGACCGCTCCGACTTGACGGCGAAGTGCAGCGTCGACCGGTCGACGGCGACGAGCCGGTCCCAGCGGCCGAGGTCGAGGCGCCGGCCGTCGAACGCCAGCGTCGTCGAGTTGAGGACGCGCATGCCGGCCATGGGCCCCGCGGCGCCCCAGAAGCCGCGTCGCTCGTGGCCGCTGCGCGGCGCGCGCGGGCCCGGGCTCCGCGACACGGTGAAGCGGCCGGCGGCGTCGCGGGGACTCACGCGCGCGTCCGAGTAGTAGCCGCTGAGCAGCAGCACCGCGTCGGCCGCGCGGCCGCCGTCGGCGCCGCGCGGCAGCGCCGCCGCGAGCATGTCGCCCAGGGCCGTCGCCCTGGCGAGCTCTCCCATGGCGCCGAGGTGCTGCGTCGGCGACGACGGGCCCTCGTTCGTGCAGGCGCAGGCCATGACCGCGAAGCGGCGCCGCGCCGGCGCCGCGCAGGCGGCCTCGAAGCGCGCGTCGCCGTCGAAGGCGCCCCGCGCCAGCGGCAGCAGCCACGCGACGAGCAGCCGCATCTAGCGTCGGTGCGAGTCGCGCACATGGGGCGTCGCTGCGCTTGTGGGGCTGCCCATGTGGGGCGTCGCTGCGCATATGGGGCGTCGGTGCGAGTCGCGCATATTGCGTCGCATTGCGCTTGTCAAGAAATTGATTGTACTTCAATTACAATCGTTGACCAAGTAATTGAAGGGGCAGCTTATGGTGATCTCGCAGCCACCTTGGACCCATGGTTTGACGGCAAAGCAGCATCTCGCAGCATGGCGGTCGAGTCCCGCAGCATGGCGGTCGCCGACGGCAAAGCAGCAAGGTGTGATGGCGCGGCAAGGCAGCCCGGTCTGATGGCTCGGCGCCTCGGTCCGATGATGGCTCGGCGCCTCGTGCTGCTCGTCGTGTGCTGTTCGACCCGTGCAGCCCCTACCCTCCCGACCGCCTCCGTACCCGAGATGCTCTGCGCGGCCGGCGACGCGCCGCGCGTCGCCGTGTGCGTCGCCGGGGCGGCGCGCACCTTCGAACGAGCGCTCGTGCACGAGTCCCTCCGCGAGAACGTGCTGCGCGCGCTCGGCGCCGACGCGCGCTTCTTCGCGTACGTCGTCCTGCGCGACGTGCGCGGCGACGACCGCGCGCGCTACGACGGCGTGCTGCACGGCGACCGCGACCGCGTGTCGCGCGCGCTCCGGCGCCTCGGCGCGATCAACGCGACCGTCGTCGACGAGCCCGAGGTCCGCGAGTCGTCAGAGGCGAGCCACTGCAAGAACTACAAGGCGTTCACGGGAAAGCCGGGGGCGAACGTCCACCGCCTCTCGAAGCACTACGAGCAGTCGCGCTCCCGCGCGGTCCGTGTTCGGGGCCCTTCCCGCGACGGCCGCCCGCAGGTCTCTCGTGGGCCAGCTCCGGAATCGCCAGAAGTGCCACGGCCTCGTCTCCGGGGACGAGCGGGCGACGGGGAAGCGCTTCGACTGGGTCCTCTACGCCCGTCCCGACCTGCTCTGGTACAGGCCGCTGCTGCCCTGGTGCCTCTGGGGCGGGCTGCCCTGGTCGCCGACGCCGCCCAAACACGCGGCGCGGACCGCGCCCGCCGCCGCCGACGCGCCGCCGCACGGGGCCCTGGAGGCGTCGCGGCGCCCGAGCTCGCCGGGCGACCTGCGCCCGTGGCGGAAGTGGGACTGGGCGTTCCTCACGACCCGGCGCCACGCGGACGCGCTCCTCGAGAGTCCGGACCGGGACTACTGGGCGTGCCGCGCGCCGTTCAACGCCGGCGACGTCGTCGAGCTCTGGCTGCAGCGCGCGCGGCCCGCGCCCGGGAACGAGCTTTCGTCGTCGGGCGACGGGGAGCCCCGCGCAGGCCACGGCGCGGTCCTCGAGTTCGCGGACGACGCGT